AAACAAATTGTTATTAGTAAAGAATCTTTATAGTTTAGTATTATAAATAGTAAATCTTTATTTGTTAAAATTATTATATTTTTAACATATAAATTCTCTTTTAATATAATTAGTCTAATTAATAATGAATATTCCGGAAAAGTGTTTATAAATTAATCTTTTGTTATTAATTATAAAATATATACTCAAATTTTACCCTATCGAAAAAAACTTTGTTTAGTAGATAATAAAGTTGTAGATATTATTATTAAATATTTTATTATAGATATAATTATGAGATTATATTATAAAACCTAACTATTTTTTATTATCAAATTATTTTTCGACATATTAATTATTTTCAACTTATTATAACTTTAATATTATAATTTATATATAAACTAATCAAATATGATTTTCTTTTTTATATTATTCTATTACATTATATAATATTATTCTTGAGATGCACTATATATCATTCGAATATTAACGATTTATTTATTATAATCAATTGTAAATCTATTAATAGTTTGAGAATAATCTTAAATAAAAAAAGTTCTGGATATATTATTACCAATCAAGGAATTTTTTAAGAAAATTTATTAATTGTTATATATAAAAACTTAATTTAAGGAGGATAAAGGATATAAGTTTGTTATTAATAAAGATAAATTAAATATTAAAATAATATTTATATTGAATATAAATTATTATTATATAAAAACTTATAATAAAGGTTCTTGTATATAAACTCAAATAATAGATAATCTTTTAAATATATATATATAATTCTAATAAAAAAAATAATTGATTAATGTAGATAATAAATTAATTTAAAACATAATTGTCTATTATTACTTTTAATATTAATATTAGAAGTATAATTATCTTTATTAAGCTTAAATACAAAGAATATTTATTAATTATAAACTTCAAGTTTTATTTCTTTTTGTTAATAGGATAATATTTGTATAATAAGGATTACTTGAAATGAACTTAATTAAATAATAGAATATTAGATTATAAATAGTAGGGAATCTTTTAATACAATTATTTTATTACAAATAATTTATTTTAATGAAAAAGAATATAGGGATATTCTATTTAATGAAAAAAATCTAATTAAAACTTTATCTTAACTATTATCATATTTATATAATTTTGTTTATAATTATTACAAACCGGCTTATTTATATAAGATTTCAAAAACAAATATCTTTAAATTTCTAATTGGAAAATTTGAATTTAATGATATAGAAATTTAATAAAAACTTTCTTTCTAATTACAAGATAAGTTATTTACATTCTTTTTATATTATATAGATACTTTTTCATTATATTAAGTATAAGATTATAAGATTAAGCTAATATTTAAAAAAGAATTATTACACTTTAAAAATTATTTATTATTATTATTAAAGCTTAAAGTTGTATATAAATGAATTAATGATAATCTTAATAAAGGCTTTATTTAGGAATCAAAATTATATAGTACTGTATTCTTACTTTTAACTGTTAAGTTAGGTGGTAATATACATATATATTAAGATTATTAAAAATTAAATAATATTATAATAAAGAATTGTTATTTATTCTTTATTATTTATAAAATTCTGAATACTCTTTATATAAAATTGAATATTATTATTACTTTTAATAAACTTTGTATTGTAAAAGATAATGAATAGAAAATAGTTTTTATTACCCATTTCGATCTTTTCAAATTATTTATTATACTCTTTGGTCTTTATAATATATTAATATCCTTTTAATATTATATTAATTATACTTTATTTAACGAACTAAACAAATATTATATAGTATATTTAAATAATGTTCTTATATATTTAATGAATAAATCAGAGTATAAGAAGTATATTCAAATTATAATATAAAAGTTAATAGATATTAGATTACAAATTGATATAAACAAATATAAATTCGAGATTATTTCTATTTATTATTTGAAATTGATAATTACAATTAAAGGTATATAGATGGATCTTGAAAAAATCATTATAATTATATTGTAGAAATAATTATTTTCAATAAAAGATTTACAATACTTTTTAGAATTTATTAATTTCTATTAATGATTTATAAAGGATTTTTTAAAGATTTATTAACTTCTTTATGATTTATTATAAAAGAATATTGATTAGTTTTAGGATATATTATATAGAAATGCTTTCACTATATTTAAGAATATATTTATAATAATATTAATTTTTATATATTTTGATTATAATAAGTAAATAATTTTGGAAACAAATATTTTAGATTGAATATTAAGGGGAGTACTTTCTTAATATAATTTTAATATTCTTTTATAATTAATAGTTTACTCTTTAATAAAATATTTTATAATAGAATATAATTATAAGATTTATAATAAGAAACTTTTTATAATTATTAAATCTATAAAGAAGTAATAATTAAAACTTTAAGATTTATAATAGGAATTTGAGATTCTTATTAATTATAAGAATCTAAAATACTTTATTATAATAAAGATTTTAAATTAACAATAAGTTCATTAATCTAAATTCTTTTCTTATTATAACTTTTATATAATCTATTAATCGGAATTTAAAACTATTCAATCAAATTTTTTTTTTTTTAAAAAAAAAGGATAAATCAAACTTTATAATTAAAGATAATAAACACTTAAAAAATAAAAAGCGTATAATTTTATTAGCAAATAAATTCGATATTGATCTTTATAATAAACTAAAAGCTAATATTCATTTAATACTAATAAATCTTGTAGTATTCATAGAAAATAAATCAATTAATAAACTAATCAATAATAATTATAAAAGATTAGATATAACTTATCAACTTATTACAACAATTAAAAATCAATATATATACAAATAGTTAATAGAATTCAGAAAAATACTTTGAATTATTATACAAAATTGTTATATAGTAAATAATAGAATATATTATTAAAAAAGATTATGAATTTTATTAGATAATGAATTAAAAATATAAATTATTTATAGAATGTATTTATCTAATCTAGTGTTACGGGAGCTGCCTCTAGGGTTATGTGGAAGTGTTTAGAGTTCTTTCGAGGTGGTTTAGTTTAAACTTCAAGTAGGAATTCAATAAGGTTGTAATTAATTGTAATTCTTGTAATTATAGTAATGAAACTAATAATTGTTCTTAAATACGAAGCTTTATATTGTAATGAAACTTATTCCTTATATAGACCTTCATTCTCTATCCTAGTCCCTAGGACCTCTTCGATATATTGGATCGTTAAGGATCGCAATGCGCTCCAGGAGCGCTGAAGCTCCTTGACGCTTTATCACGTGTAATTTATGTCATGTGACGCGGTATGCTGGATGCCGTCGTAACATCTAGTTGGGTATTCAGGTTGAACTAAAATAATCAACTTTGTTTTTTGTATATATTAATAGTTATAAATATACTAGAGGATTATTTTATATATATAAGTTTATAACCTCTATATATATATAAAATTATTAAGGTTGGTTTTATTTAGATTTCTATATTTATTATTAATCTTCTTTTAAGCTTAATCTAATATATTAATAGATTATATTATATCGCTTCTAGATTATATATATTACAATTTTATATATAAGTATATTCTAATTATCATTTATCGATTAATATTAAATGATTAAATTAAATAACTTAAATATAATAATAAATATAAACATATAATATTATTCTCTTTATAATATATTTAAAAAGTTATTAATTTGTAACTTTTATATCTATCCAGCACTAATATTCAATATTTACCCTTTTTTCAATTCTTAATATACTTATCAAAGTATTTTAATTATTCTAAATTTATCTCATTATTTATTCACCCATTAAATATAGATTTAATAGTTTATTTCATAAAAAGATTGATTTCAATATATTAATTAAAAAGATAAACCTATTCCTAGATTATTAAAAATAAAAGAATAATTTTACCCTTTTCATTTCCATATATTATTATTATAGCCCATTCTCAATTGCCTGATTATATAGATTTACTTCTGTTACATCTTTTAGTACTAATAACAACCATTACTATACATATAATTCTCATTATAAAGCCTGTTTCATTGAAATTATAAAAATCTTTATTCAAAATGTCGTATTTCGCTTATATATTTACAATTAATTGAAATCATTTTTCAATAAATTTAAAATCCTTATAAAAAACTCTTTGAAAGTTATAAATATAATTAAAACATATCTTTAATTTGATTCAATATTTTATAAATTAATATATTCAAAACTTCCTAATATATTTTATATTTTTCAATTTGAAAATATAATTCATTATATCTTTTATATTCTTGAATTTAAATAAAAAACCTTTCAAATCTATATCAAAAATATATTGAATAAATATTTCCTTTTCTAATTCAATTAAATTATAACTTTTTGATTGATTTTCAATTATATTAGATTTATCTTAAATTCTATTACCTAATATAATTCAAAGTATACAATAAAATTGAACTACTTTTCAAATTGATAATTTTTTATTTGATTTAATAACTTAAATAACTAAGATTATATATGTTTTTTTAAAATAAATTTTCATAATTAATTATAAAGAAAACACATATTGAATATAAAATAGTAATTTAAGGTAAAAGTAACTAATTCATTAATATAGTTAATCCACTAATAAACTATATTATAAAAAGAGAGTTTTTAGTATGTAAATACTAATCATTAGGATTTAGTAAATAACTTCAATTCATTAGTTACTATATTATAATCTTTAATAAATATGGGATATAATAGCTTCAAGTAAAAGTAGAAGAGATTAGTTCTTTTTGTAGCATCTATATAAAGACCTATAACTTCTTATAACTTAACTAGTTTTTTAGATAGAATATAATATAGACATTTAGGATCTACGAAACTGTGGGTGCTATGTCTTTTGTATCCTTCTCAAACCAACAAATACTTCTCCTATCACTTTGTTCCCAGTTCCTACTTCGTCTCAGGGGTTTTATTCTAGTAATGAAGAGATCCTAGAAGATATGTAGACCTGGGAGTTCTCTTCTCGAGGAGTATGCTTCCTATGATATCTAAGTGACGTAATGAATGCTATAGTAACGTTGCATTCCCCGATGTAATGTTACATCTGATATTCAAGTGAGAAATACATCTATTATATTTAGTACTCCCTCGTAATGATCACGTGAGGGAGTAGAGCAGCGTTGCTCAGTCGATCGATCTAAACCTAAATAATCAAGAAAAACTTTTGAAGTGAGTATAATGTATATATTCTTATATCCCATTCTACCTCCCCTCCAAACCAACACCCCATCCAAACCTTCCAAAACAAACCCCCATTTAATCTTAACTGACTCCGCCTCATCCTCACTCCTCTCCTTCATTTCCTTATTCCAAGTATTTCCCTTTCCCCTCCCCCCCTTCTTCCCCTTTAGCCCCTTCCCCCTCAATCCCACCGGAACCTCTTTCCTCACCACACCATTCTCAAACAATACCCCAATATCTGCTCTTCTCGCAACGACCCTTTTCCACACATTCTTAATAATAACACCTTCTTCATCTCCCTCGCTTAATACCTCCCCATTACCATTTCTATACCATTTAATCTCGGGATGAGATTCAAGAGTTGATTTGAGAGAGATGTAGATGGATACATCTGCATCATCTTTACTAGTGGATGAAGAGGTTCGAGCCTCGGTACCATCAGATGAGACGAAGATATTAGAGAACGCGAGATAAGCTTGGCCGCCTGCTTTTTTGATACCTCCGGAAGCGAGAATGAGGGAATAGTTTGCATACGAGGTTTCATAAACGATGAGATCTGGTAGATCTGCGGTTGAGGCGGTGAGAAGTTGAAGGGAGATGGAGGATAGATTTGTAGAAGTGGTGGTTGTGGGAATGGAAGAAATGTTGAGACGAATAAGGTAGTTGGATGGGGATTCTGATTCGATCTCAGATGAGGAAATCGATTTTATGGTGAACCGGGATTTTGTAGGAGACTGAATGAGATTTTGAAGTTCTGAGAGACTGAGGTCGAGGAATTTGAAATCATCGAGCTATGAAGCTATTAGATGATTTGATGCTTGAAAAGACGAACTTGTTGGACAAGCATATTCAGACGTCGAGAAAGGTCTAAATTCAAGTAGTTTGTACTTACAACTTTTTCACAATTGAACCAGCCTTCAGGATCAGCGGCAAGCTTCTCTAAATCCTCTCCCTGTTGCTGTTCTACTGAACGCTTGAGAAGCTTGGTAAGAGCTCGAGTGACAGTAGAATCGCGTTCCGCAATAATGCTGTAGCCTCTCTGACGAGTCTTCTTATTGTTGGAGATACTTCCTCCATGTTTACCTCTACCATGTCTAGATTGATTGTTCGAGATGGGAGAGGGAGCCATGATCTCTCTATCAAGAGCCATGGCTGAAAGTGGATGCATGACAGCAGCTGCCATTGTGCTCTAATGAATGACTGGAAACGAATTGGTATATGTGAGAAGCGTAGACACTAGAAAGAACAAAAAGCTGAGAGAATGGTGGTACAGCTTTTTAAGACAAAGGAAATACAGGGAGATATAAGAGATGGAGACTCGCGGTAACACAGCTTACATGTTCCCATCGAGGAAATATCATAATGATCATGTCATATTGATTCGCCAAGCACTGAAAGTTTCAGTCGGGGGCCATCGGGCCATGGCATCTATCCTATACATCACTTTTAACGAGTGATTTACCTTATATAGCGGGGGCGAGACTTGCAATAATCCAAAAACTGATTGAAAGGGTAGCCGCGGGGTGATATCTAGCGGTGTGGACCCAATATATGTAACCTCAAAGTGGTTGACCACTCTGAAAGAGACACCCACCCCGCAATAGAATGCACGCAATACCTCATGCGATCATCTGGGTCCAATCGTTCATAAGGCCAGAAGCGGTGTGTATCACTGGCGTGCACGTGATCTAGCGGCTGCAGTGCAACTCAAGACTCTTTTGCGATAGCGGGACGTATTGCCTTTTAGAAAGTCGATCCTAGATGTAATACTTTCTAGAAGGGATGGAAACCCCGGGATATCGAATCACCCAAATAATCATACGCTGAAAACACTTATATTCTAAATACTTTTTAGTGATATACATGTTCATTCAAAATATAAATGATATAAAATGTTTGTTGGATTTGAAGTTTATGAGTTCCTTTATTCAAATTCCAATCCCAAATAATGATTGCCTGGGTGAATTTTGAATATTGAAAAGATTGTATACTGTCGGTGTCCCGCTAGAGATACTATACGAGGCATGTATGTCAGTTACTACGCAGCACTAGCCCAGCAGGAAAAAAAGTAGCATGTTCTATGATCTAACTCGACACTAGTTATGCCACTTTTGAATGTGAAATCAGAGTTTCTCATTAAGAGACTCCATGCTTGGAAAATTACTACTTGATTAAACCCGGATAATGAATTATGAAGCGGGATGACCACAAACAAGTCAAAATGTGAATAGTGCACTCAGTAGGGCATGTTCTGTATTGATGGATTACAACAAGTGTCCGATGTAGCTGCGTAATCTTATTCACCAGTTCTCTGTCGGGGTGTGAAGACAGTAGAAAAATAGACTTACTAGCAAGAATCTGTTAATAATTGGAGTAGAGTAAATCCTGTTTCGTGCCCAAACTATTCACACACTGGCAGCTGAACTCCTCGCGCTTTCCGACCCATCCCATTACTTTCAAGCAACTCCCCTTTTTGTAAGTACTCATACAGGTGCACACATAACATAACGATCATACTCATGACCAAAGCTCGCCATATGAATTTCGAAAGCTCTTGAAATGATTCGTAGTGGGAGCACATCCACTCTCGTCTCTCGCAGCCTCCGCTTTAGACATCCATTCTTGCATTTGTGTTATTCGATTGTTGTTCTGCTATGGATCAGTCCTACTATTCTTAACCAAGTATCAAAGCACCTACCGATGGATGAGTTGAAAACCATTCAGGTGGAGCATTCTTCTCTGCGGCCTGCATTCTCTCCCATACGCCTACTGCTGCGTGAGGATCATAACAGCTCTTTGCCATGATCATCAGTCCAATATGATCAGCTTCTGTTTCCTGGTTTCTTGATGCTGGTAAATTCATGCCAAATTCAAGTGCGAGAGCTCCCAATATGTCACCTAGACCTCCAGTATAACCTGTGGCATCCAAGAATCGAAACAACATCCGTAAGGGCATATAAAACACCGCGGTTTTACTCATTGTTTCTCCCGAATGATTTGCGATATTATGGGCAATTTCATGACCAAGAATCTGCAAGATTTGTAAGTTAGTAAAGGTTAATACAAGAAATTTCTGGAGAAGACGTACTGTAGCAAGGCCGTCATCTGTTTTAGCAATCGGCAGTATTCCCGTAAAGACAAAAACTTTGCCTCCCGGTATAACAAAGGCATTCATTTCTGTGGAAGGCAGGTAAGCTAATCAATATCTCAAATAGGTGTTCCGGTTCCTATTCACCTCGAGACTCTATCACATTTACTTCCCAATTTACGTTGTCGATACCACTTGCAGGTATTAGTCGACTCATAACTCTCTGTACCATCTGGGTCCTCTTATCCCAATCGGGAAGAATATGATTGTGATACTGCCGTAATATCTGTTCATACATCATTTGGCCTTCTGCTTCCATATCCTGATGACTGTATATATTGAACCGCCTCCTTCCTGAGACCGGCACATCCTCGATATTGCTGACATAAATCAATATACCACCAACAGCTAATAGGGCTATAAATGAGTGTAAGGCAGGATGTTTTGTGAAGTTTCTGATATGTTGCTCGGTCAAGAGAGGACGTGCATTTCGAGCTTCATTAGGATCAAATCTGTAGTATCTCTGCCTGCGTCCTTGGTAGCTTCGCGAATGGGATGGATTGATCGATGGATGTGACCATCTTGGTAATTTGTATTGGGTGACAGACAATGGCTGTAAGAGAGGGGTAGTGTTGGAAGAATGCGCGATCGCGCTGCGAAGCGATGAACTTCGAAAGATAGATCTGGATATCATCTCTCGTCTGTTAATCTGGTGGAGGACGACAATATTAATGGTATGTGGCAGCGAAGTTGAGGAAAGTTTGCGTTTGAAAGAGCGTTGCGAATGTTTTCCTTGTGAGCATTACTTGAAATGGGTAGTCACCCCAAGCGTCGTTTTCGCTGATAAGGAAAATGAGAGCAAGTCAGATGTGATGAAACGAACATATGCATAGAGAGAGAGAGAGAGAGAGAGGAGAGGTCAATCAATTGTTTCTCAGGCGTGAGTTATACAGACTCCAGACTTTTATTAATGTTGTCTAAGGTATTTCATTTTCTGTACTATCTATCTATCTATCTATCTATCTATGCAGGCGGGCTGGCGGGTAAACTACTGGTAAATCAAGGGCCAAAGAAGCTAAAGAGCAGAGCTACCCCACTACTATGCCATGAACAACACCCTACCTAGAGCTCTCTTTGCCCTTTTGCCCTTTTGCCCTTTTACCACTGACGTATCTCCCCCGTATCCCCCTCAGATCTCGAACCAACTTTCCTTGGCGGTTGGTCCCTTTGATGTTTGAATACGAAGTAACTGGTGAATAAATTTCCTTTTCAGGGTCGGTTGCTATCCCATTTCAATATCGTAAGTCTCAAACACAAATAATACAAGCCTCAAATTTATATTGTTCTCGTTTCAACAACTGTCTTGATCCAAGGTTCCCCGTATACTTTATCAAGAGCTATTTGACATTCTACTCGATCTCAATCTACGTTCAAAATGATGGAAATTAGTGCAACAGCTGCAAAAATCACTCACGGTCTCTTCCAGAATCCACATCCCCTCAAAGCAAAATGGAATCGCATTAATGGGGTGGAGCTCCCGAGATCATCTCATAGTGTCTCGGTCGTCGCAGGTCGAGCATATATATTCGGAGGAGAAATCGACCCACGCGAACCAGTCGACAATGATATGCATGTCATCATCCTTCCTTCTGGTACAGTCACCAGCGCCGACTATCGAGCTATTGCTGCCAAACCTACACATAATGGTGGTGAGGTTCCGGAAAAGAGAGTAGGACATACAGCGGGAGTCATCGGAGAACGAATTTTTATCTTTGGTGGAAGGGGTGGCCCAGAAATGAAACCTCTTGAGGAAAATGGCAGGGTTTGGGTCTACGATACTAGGACAGATAAATGGTCTTTCTTGGATCCAGCTCCTGGTACGCCATTTCCAGCTGCACGATCTTATCATTCGAGTGTTGCTATCGAAAAACCCGAACCATCGAATATGAAGAGTGCAGACTTCGATCAGGCTATTGATGAAACCAAGATTGGCACAATCGCAGAAGGTGCCCAAACAGATGAGAAGCAAGGTGGTCATGGAACATTTTTCGTCCATGCAGGATGCCCAGTCTCTGGACGAACAAATGATCTTTGGGCATTTGATGTTCGAAGTCGTACCTGGAAAGAATTTCCTTCTGCTCCAGGAAAGCCCAGAGGTGGCACATCGCTCGCAATTTCAAAGCAGAGAATCTACCGATATGGCGGGTTCAATGGTGAGGGTGAGGAAGGTGGCTATCTTGACATCTTAGAATTGGCTCTCCAAACTTTCAACGACAAATCTGGTTCGGGAGAATTGGGAATCACTCCGAAAGGAGATTGGGAAACTTTGAACTTTGAAGAGGAGAGCATGAAACATCCCGGTCATAGAAGTGTTGCCGGCATGCATACCATCAATACTGGTAAGTTTCTACTTTATGTAACCATTTTCTGACTACATTGAGACGCAACCTGTCTATACCATTCATAGAATGAAAGCTCACATTTTTTTAGGTATGGGCAGAGAATATTTGATTCTCTTACTTGGTGAGAAAGATCCAAGTAGTGAAGGCCATGCTGGAGCTGGCAGGTTCTGGAGTGATGTTTGGGCATTTCAATGTCCTCCTCAAGGCATGACTGCGGCAAGTTTCAAGGATGCTACCTGGCAAGCACTAGGTCAACAGACTGGTGAAGGTCTTTGGAGTCAAATAGTCGTTTCGGATTCTGAGGGCGTCGAAGGTGATGACGTCAGAAAGCTTGTTCCTGGCGAGCGTGGATGGTTTGCAAGTTCGTCAATGAGCGATGTTGACTTCAGAGGTATTCTCTTGTGGGGTGGACTGAATGGAAAGAATGAACGTGAAGACAATGGGTGGATCTTAACAATTGAATGAAAGCATAGCGACGAGAGAACTTAGGGTGTTTGGAAAAGGAGACAGTTTTACTTAAAGTTACCATGAACAATGGATATGAATGAAATTAAATGATATACCTTGACCAGACGAATTCTACTATTGTTCGAGATAGCTCACGTAAAACGTTGTGACAAACACCTAAGGTTGTTCGAACATTAATTATTTCGATAACGCACCGACATACCTTGAAGTGATAGGTAATTGATGAGTAATGGACTCGTCAAAAGAGGAGATGACTTTATCCATAAACCTCAACAAGATATCCTATTTTTAAAAGATAGAATTGTTTTTAGATTTTTAATTATGATATACCATTTGAACAATCGAATGTGGGCCATCCCATCTTCCCCTTCACGGAGCTCGCCTCGCCTAGCTAGAAATGATAACGACCCCTCGTCAACCCCTCTTCTACTAACCACAGCTAAAAGCATATAACATCAATTGCCCTCCACCACCTGCAACGCATTCTAGAACTTACCCAAGTCCACAACAGCGTTGCAGGTACCCAACCATGCTATCCCATTTCCCTCCCCACTAACAACCCCAGACCCCAAATGTCGCACGAAGCCGCCCTCACATCCTCCGCCGCGCAAGCTATTGCTCCCGATCTCTTTCCCTCGCGCACCCCTCTCACCACCCCCCAAATCGAAGCCAGCATCAGCGCCTGTCTTACCGTACAACGTCGAGCCGTCACCCAAGGAAAACGGCCCTTTGCCGCTGTGCTACTTGGTCCCGATAACGAAACCGTACTCCTCACACATCAAAGCATCGATCAAGTAAATCATGCCGAGAGCTCTTTGGCTAAATTAGCGTACTCGCATTATACGAAAGAGTTTTTGTGGAGATGTACGTTGGTTAGTACGTGGGAACCTTGTGCTATGTGTTCGGGTATGTTATACCATACTTGTATTTTCACGTTTTCACTTGCGAGTCTGTCTATTTTGAGGGGATTTTAGTAACTGGATGGAAAAATAGCGACGATTTATTGGGCGCATATTGGAAGAATCGTATATGCGGCCACGAATGAACAATTAGCGGGTCTGACGGGCCCGGGCAATCGAGAAAATTTCACGTTGAAATGGCATACGAGAGATATTTTGGAGGGGCAGCAGAAGGATATTGAGATTATTGGGCCGGTGGACAAAATGGATTTGGTGGTTGTGGAGGAGAGTGATAAATATTGGTGTACGACTAGAGCTCAAGCATGATATGATTAATACGATAGCAATCATTTTGAGCTATGATACGAGATATGCTATATAACTCGCGAAGAGTGTCAAATGGATGTGGTCCAGTTTTGAGGTAAGTTAATCCACGATTTATATAGGGATATTAAGTGTACGAATTATGACCAGCTCTTTCTTCAAAGCGGAGATACCTCGCGTTTGTCGTACGCAGTTAGATTGCTGCGAGAATCAATTTCTAAATTCCAACTATTTTAAATATTGGTAGTTATCTCTCTCAAGCCAATGGTATAGCTACACTGGTTCCAACGTGCTGTGCCCTTATGCCCATGAAAATTTTGCTACTGTTGGACATATAAGGGTAGAGAAAGTTATGGATACTTCTCAGATTCTAGTTTCATTTCGTCACCAATTTTTTTTCTCTCCTTTTTCGAGTGTTCAGCATTAAGCGTCATGGCTCCTTTGGTGCTTACACTGGTGGTTCTCCTACCTGTACGCTTTGCCATTTGGAATCGTGTTTGCCTGGTTAGGAACTGTAGGATTGCCCGGACGATTGGAATTCCCATTAGGAACCTCATTGCAAGTGGTGACAATCCAGTAGTGAGTCACATGTGATTTCGTTTGTCGCCTAACATACGAGCTCTTATCACTAGACAACGTGTGATATTTCTATACCCTTACTCCGAAATCCTTGATATGAGGGTGTTACTAATATATTGTCAAGTGGATTCCCGCATCAGGCATCGTCCTTCCTATTGTGAAAGCTGTATTCGGCGATTGTGATATCGTTCGGTATAGCACGCCGGGCTGGGAGTTCAAAGACAAGTACGCGATGCACCAAAAGCTTGGTAGTGCAGTAATTCACGTCTCAGCTGGTCATGACTGGTTATATCTCTGCGATTCCGATTCAGTCAATGAAGTTTTCAAACGCAAAGATGATTTTGATAGACCTCCAGATTTGCTTCAGAGTGATATCGTGTCTTTATGTTGTGCTTGAGGGCTAATCGTCACAGCGGTTCTCTCGTGTTTCGGACCTAATGTCTCGACAGTAGGTGATTATGTTATCAAATATTGGTGAGCTACTAGAGCTGACTTGATCTCAGGCTGTAGGTCCAGATTGGTAGCGTCAACGCAAAATTACCAGTGCCCCATTCAATGATAAAAATAACTGGTTAGTTTGGATCGAGGGCTTAAGGCAAGCAGATGAGAGTTTGCAATTCTGGAATCTCCGAATGGTCCCATTACACGAACAGATAAGGATACCCGTACATTCTCACTCCATGTTTTATCTGGAGCGGGATTTGGGAAATCATCCTCATTCAAAAGATCTACCGAACAGCCAGAAGCAGGACAGACTTTTGAGTACCGAGACTCTCTTGCTCTTGTGTTAGAGAATTGTCTTCTTATCCTTGTGCTTGGTCCTAAACTTGTCTCTAAGTTATCCTGGCCACCAAAGTGGAAGCGAATTGGACAAGCAACAGTTGGTTTTAAATTCTGCATGGCAGAGATGCTGAAGGATAAAAAAGAAGCCATCGCGCATGGGAAACCTAGAAGTGCGACGTTTACAAGTTCTTTACTTAGAGCTTCCAAAGAACAATCTCAATTAAGTTCAAACGGCTCTGCTCCAAGTGGCTTTCAAGGGCTCACCGAAGAGGAAATCTATGCAAACTTGTTTGTTTATAATTTTGCAGGCCATGATACGACGGCCGTTGTACTGAACTGGACAATCTATCTTCTCGCTGCGCATCCCGAAGTTCAAGATTGGATCTCGAAGGAAATGAATGCTATTATCACGAACGATATGTCATCGACATGGGATTTCAAGGAAATATATCCGAGATTAAATAGATGTCTTGCCGTAATAGTAAATATCTCACCATTCAAATAAAGATAGGACGATGCTAACAGAAATGGTGTGAATTGGTTAGAGACTATGAGACTCTACAATCTACTCATCGGTACCTGCAAATCTACTTTCGAAAGGCCACAACCGCTTACGGTCGATGGTCGAACCATCACTATTCCGCCCGACACGCGCATTATTGCGAATTCTAACGCCCTACACTCACACCCGCGGTACTGGGGTAATAATTGTCTCGAATGGCAGTATGCTTACCTTATTTCTTGTATATTCTGTTGTTAGAAAAAGATTCCGACTCCCTAATCTTACAGTCCCCAACGCTGGGTCTTAGCGAAAACCGAAAACACACAGTCATCACCCGTAGAACGTGAATATATTCGCATTCCACCCAAAGGATCATACCAACCATGGTCTGATTCGATCCGAACATGTCCTGGTAAGAAGTTCAGCCAAGTAGAATTTGTAGCGGCGATGGTTGCGCTGTTTAAGAGAAACCGGGTGGAGATTGTGCGAGAGGAGGGGAAAACAAAGGAAGAAGCAAAGGACAGGGTAATGAGTGTGGTGAAGGATATTGTTATTGTTGTGTTGTTGCAGATGAGAAGTCCTGAGAAGGTGGGTGTGCGATGGGTTAGTAGAGTGTAGATGGTTTGTGGATAGATAGGTATGTAAATAGTTGTTCGAGCTTGGGTTATGGTAGCTTTCTAGAAATTGCAAGGGTCTTATAGAATGAGGTTCGATCGGCAGCACAATTGGAATCTTTCTTGGGGCAAACTGATTGATTTCGACGGTCATGGAGGTGTGTTTTGTCAATAAACTGTAGCCAACGACAGTGCCAAACCCCGGCCCACTTTCCGAATACATGATGTTACACAATAAAAGGAGATGGAAGACAGTATTACTTAAGTGACATGGCATTGTGCAAGTTCGAGATTGCAACTGGCATACTTGCGCAGTATTGCACTTTCATGAAATACATTCGAGGCCGATCAAATTCACCTTTCTTCCATCTTCCAACTCCCCATCTCTTGATCCGATCAACTTGATCATACACTCTAGAGACTGGGCATTTCTATGATGGTGAATTAAAACAAGAAGCATTAGGATGAGCAAATTAGTGAATTCAGGTCATTTGAATACCCATAAGCACATCAACTTCGTGGCTTAGCGATTCAGATATCCAGTTTCATTCACCCCTTCAGATCAACTTCCTCCTACAAGTACTGTGGTATCATGGGCCAACCCTCGAAAGATAGCTCTTCAATCTTGACGTTGAAACGAAGAACCTACCCCGACAAATACTGTCATTTTCAAATGTGGGAGTTAATCAGAAATGCAATAGTAAGGAAGTGGCTACGTGATAGCTACTACTAAGCCAATATCCGTAGAAGGAGTTGACTGCTGGGCAGAAAATAAACCTTCGTGGAGAAATATCAGGACGGGTTCAGTCTCTCATCTCTTGCCGGTATTGTTGTTGTCATTCATAGCTTTTCACTGTCATCCATAGCATTATTGTTGTTACTGCCATTTGTATGATAGCAAATCGCATTTGCGCAGCCACATTCCTTAGCTCCAGATATTTCAAACACCCGAGGTCATCGTTTATATTGGTCCGCTATAACTATTAGTCTGAAATATTTGAAATCCATTGATTATTAGAGTTATCTTCCAGTTCAACCTTGGAACTCCCAGAGATACCGATAGTCTATTTAAATATAGCGGTTTATCCGGTGAATCGTATTCATTTGGAAAATTCACTGAATACTAGCAAGAATTAAGAATTTAAGCTCATTGTGGGTAGATTAATAAGGTTATGAAAATCACTAGAAGTGCTTGATTTATTTGTTTAATAGAGTGTTTGTTAAATGCCTTGGATTTCTATTGGATCATACTATTTCGGAGTGTTTTTACCCCATTTACAAAGGAAGCTAATCGGCCCTAAAAGTAGTCATCTTTGCTAGCGTTCAGCGAATGAATACGATACCTACGAAGTACTTATTGTCTCTTGAGTTGGGAACTTGGAAGAATATGCGAGCTCATTGTCTTACTATGGAGTAGGTGACGAACAGAGAGAGCTTGGAACCCTCGAGGAAGCTTGAAGAGAATAGAGAAAAGAATTCAAGTAATTCTTCGAACGTGTCAAAAAACTCACCATCAAATACAAGCCGATGGAACAAAATAGAACAGAACAACCTTATTAATCGCTTATGCATATATCTGCCAAGCATATTCATGCAACCATCCGCACTTGGGCAATCTTCTACTGAAGTACACCTCTCAATTATTTCAAGATGATGATATGATGAAACTTGACGCGATATTCTCATGTCAAGATTGTGTTATGAACTCATAATTTTTCTATTGGTGTTCGTGATATTCGCGGCCTCGCCTGAAGATAGAAGGTCTAGTCTATCAATGCTCGCAGGCTGGTAAAATCCACTTTTTCTCGAGAAATAGATTGGGGTTGACTTTGGTTTGAGCTTATCGTACCTGAAAATATGCACAGAGCGGGATATGTTCTATGCATCTGGCTGTATTTCGTCTCTCGAGATGATTGATAAATCTTCAATTCATGAGTATACATCAAAGAGAATGGCGGAGGCAGGGAGACAGGCCCAAGGCGGATGCCGTGACTTCCTATCTGCGTCTTTTCCTATTCATCTTGATTCATTTACATGATGAGCAAAATATTCATTACTGATATCATCGGGTCTATCAAACCATAACGGTTGACTGGTGAATCAGTAGCTAATCACTAAACTCTAACAGGCAGGTGCGCAGAGGCCCGCGGCGACTAAGAGAACTAAAGTCGGGAACCGAGCCTATCTTGATTTTTTGATATCTCCAGTTTATCAAAAAGGAGGAAAGATATACTAGCGCTCAATCCATCCGCCTTGTACCTTTCGACACCATGTCAATTCATGTCATGTCTTCGATATCATAGGTTGAGACTGGGTTACATCGTAAGTAAGGGACGGTGAAAGGCTGGTGAATCTTGATTGGATTAGTTCAAGAACCATGATTTAAGACTAGTCCCTCCACATCGTCATAATCATGAAGTTTCCATGACATGATAGCTCTGATAGCTCTAAGCTCTCATTACTTTTTGGATAGCAGCTTTGAAAATACTTAAAGCTCTCCCAGATCCCACATATTGAACGCTTACTTTTGTTATTCGCAATATTATCATACGATCCAAGTTTTGTGACTTGAGTGATCCGTCAAGATGCGTTTCTCAACTGTAGTTTCGACTCTTGCCATTGCAGGTGGAATCGCCGACGCCACTCTTCACTCTGGAAGAAGTTTGAGGCATGTTGGAAAGAAGGACAAGCAAACCCATAAAGCTAGAGACACGACTCCAAGGAGGGAGCAGAAACATGAGAAGAGGGATGCTAGTTTTCCATACTTGACCAATTCCACTGCTAGTAAGTGTTTTTCGAATGCAGCATTATAGGAAACCCACTAATAGCTTTGATAGAATTCAGTGTGAATGGTTCCGCTATCCCAGATGTCAGCTTCGATGTCGGAGAATCATATGCTGGTTTGTTGCCAATTTCAAAAGCCGCAAATGAGACGAGAGAATTATACTTTTGGTTCTACCCATCGACAAATGAATTGGCTTCTGATGAAATTCTCATTTGGCTTAATGGAGGTGTAAGTGATTTCACCGATTGCATATATGTACATTTATATATATACCGCAACATTTGACTAATTATCCTCCCAGCCCGGATGTTCATCTCTCGAAGGATTAATCCAAGAAAACGGACCTTGGATCTGGCAATACGGTACCTACGCTCCTGTTCAGAACCCTTGGACCTGGGTAAACCTTACCAATGTTGTTTGGGTCGAACAACCCGTTGGTACTGGTTTCTCGCGGGGTGTACCTACTGCTACTAGCGAAGAAGATGTCGCTGCTCAATTCCTCGGATTTTGGGAGAATTTCGTCGACACTTTCGCTTTGCAAGGGAGAAAGGTCTTTATCACTGGTGAATCTTATGCGGGATACTATGTTCCATACATTGCCGATGCTATGTTGAACAAGAATGATACTTCTACTGTGAGTACTCCCGTATCTTCTGAAGAATTGAATATGAATTGAAGCTGATGATCAATAGTATTACAACCTCGAAGCAACCATGATCTACGACCCTTCTACTTCTTACGATGCCGTTCAAGAACAGATCCCCGCAGTTCAATTCGTTGATTACTGGGGTGGTCTCTTCCCCTTCAATGATTCCTTCGTTGAACAAATCCATAATGTATCTGATTCTTGTGGCTACACCGATTACCTCGCCAAATACCTTACCTACCCACCACCTGGACCATTCCCATCCGCTCTCCCTGGCACAGGCGACGATGGAATTTCTACCACTGACGAATGCGACGTCTTTGATCTGATCTACAACGAAGTCTTCAGCGTAAACCCTTGTTGGGACATTTACCAAGTAGCCACCACCTGCCCCCAACTCTGGGATGTCCTCGGATTCCCCGGATCAAACTACTATTTACCTGCCGGCGCCTCTGTCTATTTCAACCGCACCGATGTTCAAAAAGCTATCAACGCTCCTATGATCGAATGGGATACATGCTCCAACATCGACGTCTTCGTAAACGGAACAGATAATTCTCTCCCCACCGGTCTCTCCGTCCTTCCCTCCGTCATCGAACGTTCCAAGCGTACCATTATCGGTCACGGCGCATTAGACATGGTCCTCATTGCCAACGGCACTCTCCTCATGATCCAAAACATGACATGGGGCGGAGAACAAGGTTTCACAAGCAAGCCCTCCGATCCCTTCTACGTGCCCTACCACACCGAGCTCTCCGATTCCACGCTTGCAGCTTCCGGAGTCTTGGGCACAACACACACAGAAAGAAACCTCACTTTTGTGTATATCGATTTGAGCGGTCACATGGTTCCTCAATATGCTCCTAGTGCGTCGTATAGAACGCTCGAGTATCTGTTGGGAAGAATCGATAGTTTGTCGAGCACAGTGCCATTTACCACGCAGGAAGATGTCGTGCAGAGTACGGCTCCGCTTGGAAATGGCACGGGACCTCCAATTAAGAGAGAGTTTGTTGGGGGTATGCGATTTTAGATGGGATGGGTAATGGGTGTGTGGAAGGAGAGAGGAGGAATAGATAGAGACGAGACATGATTATAATGGGTATGATGAAATGAAAATATGAAATGATTTTTTTAATGTTAGGATGAAAAATTATCTCGGTGATGCGGATTTACTATGTAGAAGGCTCTGGGGATTGTGGATATTGACGGAGCTTGTCGGTACACATAGTGAACAAAATAAGCCATGATTCAGAAAGAATCAGTCCAGTTTTACAACCAAATCAAGGCAGAGAGGAGAGAGCAGGTATAGGTCTAGATTGTGGAATTTGGAAGTGTCGTTGAGCTAAACTAGAATTCGATTTCGAAAGGCGAGTTCCGCCCGTGCGAAGGAGAGGAGGGATCAATAATCTTGGAAGTCCAGTCTTCCTGCCTGAATCCGTCAGGTCGAGATCCGAAAGACACCTAGAATGAGGAGGGATATTGTTTCCAGAGTTTTGATACATCAGGCCAATAGATTCGCCTCACTCATAGACTCACATGTCACTCCGACATTGTATAGATATTCTTCGAATGATCCCCGTTTACTGGATTGATAATGCATAAGACTGACACGGCAAAAGTAGGTTTATGCATAAAGTAAGGTAGCAAAGCTATTCAGATTTTGATATATTCTTCATACAATGTGATAAAATCAAATGAGAGTGGACTATCTCAAAGACGCCTGCTAATCGTCCCCCAAAAACTCCTCGCTCCCGTATGTTTACTTGTGTGCTTTGATACAAAGGCCCGCCGCCTAATGAAAGTGTAGAGTGATCACGATCGTGATAGAGCGTTTTCTCATCTCTTTTCCCACTGCTGTCCTCTCGCCTTATCTGGTAAATGTTCATCCTCCATCCTTATGCTATCGTCATATGTAACCCCATATCTCATATTTCATCATTCAAATATTTCGCTCCATGCCCGCAAACATCAATTCTCTATCCCGCCTCATTCCATCCAATACCCCCACCAACCCACCATTTCGCATTCTCTCCAACACAACCATCATTCCCTCCTTACTCTTTCCCAATTGATTTTCTGTTTTCCTACTAGCAATAGCCTCGATACTTCTTTGCACTCCCTTGGTACTCCAATTCGCCAACCATCCTTTCTTCTCTTCTTCGCTTTCTTCCCCCTTCCTCATCGCCCTCAACCGATCACCAAGTCGACTGCGAAACATAACCTGCGTCTTCACACCCGTCATTCCCGAGCCTTGAATAAATTCTTCCTCGCGCACTTCCTTATCTGCTGCTCTGTGAAAATCTTGTCTTTCCACTACACTCAAAATACCTGTCCAATCCAGGTTTCTACTCTCCGTCTTCATCCATCCTTCTTTGATATCCACTTCCGAAGTTTCTAGAATATATGATTCGCTTCTATCGCTTCTCACATTGCCGAGAACGCTTTTGGGTAAGAGTTTGAGAACTGCGGATGGCAATCGAGTGGATTTGCGATGAATGCGCAAAGTACGCAGACGACCTGTTTCGGGACACACGGTGCGCGAAATCACATCGGTGGAGAGCACATGTGTGCTATGTGGATTTGGGTAACGAAGGAAGTAGGCGAATGTAACAGCAGGGAAGGAGTAATCGTAAGAGTAAGAGGATTCGAAGAATTTGACCATGGTTGTGGATTTTATTGAGGATTGATTAGCTGTTTAATTGTGTAGTTGTTTAATTGTTCGTGGTATACATATGATTGCAGTGATGGTACAAGAGGTATCGGGGAGTGAAGGTAAGGAAAAGAACGAAGGGAGAAGCAAAGTCGAATGAGAAATCGAATGGTAGTGGTATGATTGTTGATCTTGATGATTTGGGGTTGGAAAGCTTCTGGAAGGGATTTGTTCGCCTGATTCCTTTCCCCGGATTTTGGGTTCTTTTGGGTTTAGTGTGATGGGGATGGAGATGGAGATGGACGAATTATTTGTTGTGAATTGTTGTGGAATGAATCTTGATGGAATACAAACGTTAAAGAGGTAAATAAGAATGAAATGGAAATTGAAATAAGAAATAGAATATCTGAACGTTTACTACCACCATACTCATGATATTCAAAAAAGACACTAGTAGTAAACCCCGCAGAGCTTCGATGGTTCAAAGCTCATCGACAGTCAGCTGGAACAAAGCAATTGGTGATCTTTGTGCACGTGATCTTTCACTTCCATCCTTCACCGCTTACAAATCGGATGATTGTTTGGCAATAATTTCCCCTCCCTCCATCAATAATAAAGAACAAATAACCCCTCCTCCAATCCCCAAACATTATTCCTCAATCCTCATTCACCACCATGACAGGCGCAGAACCTACTCTCGCTGCCAGCTTGGCAAGCGATGCTCCTACCAGTAAACAAACCGTCGATCCATACAATGTTGCTGGAGAAATTGGCGCAGATGGAATCGCAAAAGCGATCAATTACTTGACTTTGATCGATGAGTTTGGAACCAAGGAAATAGAGGAGGCAGATTTGAAGAGGTTTGAGGAGGTGACTGGTCATAAACCTCATAGATTTATGAGAAGAGGAATTGTCTTCAGTCATCGTGATTTGCATCTTATGTTGGATCGTCATGAGAAGGGAGAACCATTCTTCATGTATACTGGACGAGGACCAAGTAGTGATAGTATGCACATCGGACATACTGTTCCTTTTGAATTTACGAAGTAAGTTTGAATCCTCAAAAAGGTTCAGCTCGCACATTCTGCGATTCTTAGAAGCATGCTACAGAATGTGTAATTTCTTCGAATCATACTGATGACTCATTCACAGATGGCTACAAGATGTCTTCGATGTTCCATTGATCATCATGCTTACAGATGATGAGAAATATATCTTCTCCGAGAAACGTACAATTGAGGAAGTTCAAAGTTATACCACTAGTAATGCGAAAGATATCATTGCTGTTGGATTCGACCCCAAGAAGACATTCATCTTTAGCGATTATGATTACATGGGGGGAGCATTTTACAAGAACGTAACCCGAATTTCTAAGCACGTTACATTGAATGTTGCACGAGCTGTCTTTGGCTTCAATGATAGGTAAGAGATTCTGACCCCAAACTACATGGACTTCACTGACGATTCCAGTTCCTGCATAGGCAAAATTCATTTCGGAGCTGTCCAAGGCGCAACCTCCTTCGCTAACTCCTTCCCACATATCTTCGGCACTGATGAATCCAAAACTACTCAAATCCCATCACTGATTCCTTGCGCCATTGATCAAGATCCTTATTTCCGCATGACCCGCGATGTAGCCGCTCGTCTCCATTATGCCAAACCCGCACTCATTCACTCTCGTTTCCTCGACGCTCTTCAAGGTCCCGGTTCCAAAATGAGCGCTTCGGTCGATACCTCCGCAATCTTTATGTACGATGAACCCAACAAGATTAAGAATAAAATCAACAAATATGCATTCAGTGGTGGACAAGTTAGCGAGCAAGAACAAAGAGAAAAAGGAGGCGATACAGAAAAAGACGTTTCATATCAATATTTGACATTTTTCTTAGAAGACGACGAGGAATTAGAAAGTATCAAGAAAGCATATAGATCTGGAGAAATGCTTACAGGAGAATTAAAAGCAAAATGTATTCAGGAATTACAAAAATATGTCAAGTCATTCCAGGAGAGAAGAGCAAAGATTACAGATGAGGTTGTGGCGGACTTCTTCGCCAGAAAGGAATTGGTTTGGGGTGGAAATCCAAATGCCAAGAAGGTTGCTCCTGCTGTTGGTGAGGAAGCTACGAGCGGAGAAGGTGTTGATGGAAGTGGAGATGGTACAGGGAAATTGACGAAGAATCAGGAGAAGAAATTAGCGAAGATGAAGGCAATTGAGGAGAAAAAGAAGGCTGCTAAGGCGGGTGGGGCATGAATAATAGGATTGGAAGTGGCCGGGGAGTGAGGGTTGAATGTCCTTGAGGGAAGTTGGCGAGAGAAGTTTGATGAAAATATGATGAGATGTGAATGATACACATGATGCGAGCTATACAATTCAATACCCAAATCTAGCTTTCTGATTTCTACTTTTAATCTTTTGTTCTTTGCGTTTGCTTTGACTTTTATTTTTATTTTTATTCTGATGATGTGGTGGAGTTCGAGTTGAGGGAAGAAGAAAATAGATTAAATAGTTTACATATATGCAAAACGAAGTTGCGAAGATACCTGGTTTAGGGGTAGACTGAGGAAATATCTATGGTTCTATTCATATTCTCCTCTTCATACTCTACCTTTCGTCCTATCTACCTATCCCATATCTATCACTCAGTTCTATAAATACCTACACCCATATGGATACCCGTGATCTATATATATCCCAAACCCCATACCTCATACCTGATATTCACTTCCTCCCCGTGTTCTCTCCATCTCCCGGCTCCCGTGCCCTTCGTAACGAACCAGTAAAAGGTAATTTCTAAAAGTATCATCTAAAAATAGAAACCCCAAGGCCTATCAAGGTATTTCTGATATGGATGGTTTGTTTGGGGGGTAGGTAGGTAGGTAGGTAGGTAGGTAGGTACTGGTTGTATATATCTTTCCTTGGGGATATAATCGTAGTCGAGATTATAATTATCGGTAGTTATAGGTAGTCATAGTCATAGCTATAACCAAAGTCATACTCATACTCATAGTCACAGTAATAATTATAGTCACATCTCTCCTCGTGGTTATGATCATCATCATCGTCATAATAGCCATAGCCATGGCCATAATCATACCTACCTAGACATACCTAGTCATAGTCCCCTCCCATCCTCTCCTATCCTGTCTCATCTACTCTACCCATACTCTATCAATACCGAAACCAATATCCTTTTCCAGTTCTTGTTCTCATTTTTACTCATGTTCTTACTCTTACCCTAACTCTTATATCTAGGATGTGATAAACCATCCCATCCCATACTACAAAACGCAAGAGTATGAATCATAAATCACAAACCATCCCTTCGTTCGTCGACTTGAAGATATGATTCACACCAACTAAACAAATAGATAGATACACTCACACATACATACATTCACATACATATTTATTCATTTCTCCTTGTATTCATCTCTTTTGCATACTTACTCATCCATCTACCTATCTACCTACCTACTCATCCATCTATCTAGCGAATACACTCACTCACACACGCATACCTATACCTATACACACATTCAGACCCGTGACCTGTGAATCCATCTTCTCTTCTCCTCTCCAAATTATTCATTCATTCCCATTCCCACTTCTCCTTTTCGATTTATGAATCCCCATACATACATACATACATATCCCTCCAAATTATTTCTCACTCAAATTTACCTTACCTTACCTAACTTTTAACTATCGTACGTATTTTTGAATCATCGCGTACGAGGACGGACCACCTTATTACTACTGTTCACGGGGTATTATTATACTTTAGTTTTTGATTCCTAGGGATTTGATACTTGATACTCGATACTTGCTTTCAATCTCCTATTTGTTAATGGTTTTGCTTCCGACTGTGAATGGGATTTCAATAACGCTTTGAATAACAACTCAAACGACTTAACCATGTAGTACAAAAGGCATGTGACTGGAACTTCGATCATTATATTATACACGCACACATACATACATATCAGAACCGAGTCACTATCACTACTATATTCCAAATACCTTATTATTACGTCGTGGGAATATACACATACGCATCTGTTTATTTATTTATCCATCCATGTACTGAGTGCATATCTTACTAGACTCGACGACTCACAGCTAGCTTCTCCGTGTTCATACCTTTCTTACTCGACAACTCATCACTCGCGAAAGCCGTGTCGATATATTTGCTCGAGGTAGATTCTACTTGCTCTTTGCATCCTACATACGGTACAGAGCTAGAGAACAAAAGCAAGTATGGGCAAGAATAGCAACGCAAGAATGGCGTCGAAGTCATGGGTTGTATGTACCAAGCTCGAGGGTAAGGTTATGAGCAACAAGACTTCTGTCAAAGCCGATAAGTAAGAGCATATTCTTTTTTTTTTTTTTTTTGATATTCCCCAAGTTCTTTTGGTTTCCATAGCGTTAGAGGATGATGGATATTTGTATGGTTGAACTTGAGTTTGTGGGCATCGACTAACAATAACCACTCTTAGACGCGATATTACTCTCCTCGTTCTTCTTCTCCGTCACCGCATCACCCCTCCGGTACCATATGTCATTATTACCGAGATTATTCTTAGCATGTCGCCCGATACTTACCAGGATCTGTGCCGTAAGAACTGCAGATTGGAGAATCTAACAGAGGAACAACAATATCATTGGTTCGCTTGGTGGTGTAAAGAAATGGAGAAGAAAGAAATAATGAAGGGTGGTGGTAGATGGGTAGCTGCTGTCAGTGAGTATTTGCAACCCGAACTTTTTGGTTTAAACTACATGTGCTAATGGAATGATGACAAGATTGGGAGAATGAAAGAATCAAAGAGATCTGTGGTTGTCTTCGAGATCAACTGCAAGGTCGGGGTCCAGTGTTCGAACTTGTAGACCAAGAAGGTGTCAACAGATTAAAATTACAAGTTGGACAAAAGAAGAAACTCATAAAGCTGAATAAGATTTTGAAGGAGAAAGAAGAGTTCATAAGAGCGCAGGAAGATCAGAGCACTTTACAAGCGGACTGGTATCTCAAGAATGATTGTACGTATGATCCGGATACGTTGAAGATGATTTGAGTATTTACTGATCAACCTTTTTCAGGGAGACACAGTAGCGTCCCTGACCTTACCCTCCTCACCCCCAAGTCTGTAATAGGTCAAGGATATCCGTTGGATGATTTTCTCAGGCCTTTCGACGACGATTTCCGGAGTTGGAGTTCTAGTTTCGAAACAGCCGGTACAATCTCAGCTCCCTCTACTCATTCTTCTTCCGCTAGCCTGACCACTTGGTCCAATTCTTCTACGATTGCTTTCTCTACTATGCCACTTGGGTATACAGATGAAGAGGAAAAAATTCTCAAGACAGTCAACGAATACAAAGCAACAAAGAAAATGGAGAAAATCATGTAGTTGAAGGAAGCGATGCGAAATAAGCTTGACAAATTGGACATGGCAGAGAGAGAGGGTAGATTGGTCAATGATTGGATGATGACTGACTCTATGGTGGAAGTATGTTAGGGGTAAAGAAAAACACCTTGGAGAATCATGATCATTGTGAGGTTTTATCACATGTTCTCGTGATATTATGATAAAAACGCGTGTAGTTTATGCTTAAAGCATGGGCGGAGGACTTTCAACGCAATATTTAATTTTAGAATGAATTTAGAAGTTAGAACGAAGGAATATTTAAAGTGTTTACCTATCTGAGTCTACCTAGTAAGATGCACTCTCAACGCGATTGGCGCATGTGAGACATAGCCAGTGGAGCGGGGTATATTCTTCTCGGTACTTGGTCGTATATGCGAAGAGAAAAAAAGTAAAAACAAAGCCAATGATGTGGATAACAGACGACCTAAGGGAGTCAGGGTAGATGAAACAGAATTGGTCCTAAACCTGGTTCAGTCAGGCGTCAAGTTTGGTATCCAAAAAGAGACTTCTCCCGCTCGGCTGGTATGCGCTCAAATAGTAGTTTCCTTGAAGTGCTGTAGGAGAGAAGAGACCAACCAAGTGGCCGGGTCAAAGAAGGGTGGAAGATATATATATATTGTGGCTTATCATCTTTGTTCAATGAATTCTTGGATGATAGAGGAAAAAGAAGCAATGCGTTGTATATTATGTATTATATACAATATACATTGTTATAGTGTTAGTGTATATATTTCAGTGTCGTGGAATCTCCTATATTCTGACTGGATTCATGTTGAATGTTGAATGTTGAATGTTGAATGTTGAATGTTGAATGTTGAATGTTGATTGGGGATGAAAGATGATTGTGTTGAAGGTAGGTGAGATTCGGATGGAGAGGTTAGAGAAGAAGAAAGGAAAAGATATGAAACATTCAGCCTTATCTCCATTCTCTGAGGATGATTAAATCAAGTAACATCATTGGTTAGACAAACGAGATAAAAGTTGAAGTATTACCTAAGCTTCCCCCCACCTCCCGATTTGGTAGCTAATTGATAAGTCAGCTAGTTTGGCGTTCCCCCTCTCTTTGTTTGGAGGGACTATACGGAGGAGTAGGTAGGTGAAGAAAGAAAGACACTTTCATACCTTTCTTACCCTTTCTTTCCTTTCTTTCTTACCTTTCTTACCTTTCTCTTCTTTCTTTTCTTACCTTTCTTACCTTTCTTACCTTCTTTCCTTTCAGCTTGCGAGTAGATGAGAAGAGGATTAGTTGGATATTATGCAGAGGGTAAAGAACCTCATTCCCTACCTATCTAGTAACATTTGATCCCTTTCCATACAATGTTGGTGTACAAGTGAATTGGAAATACTTAGCCGTGTGGTAAGATGATAATAAGAACAAAGTGGGAAATAATAAATTAAATTGGTCCTATCATTATTATCATCTTAAAAACATTATTGGGATTCCCTCAATCAATCAATCGATCATTCATTCATTCATCCAACCATCCAACCATCCAACCATCCAACCAACCATCCAACCAACCATCCAACCAACCATCCATCCATCCATCCATCCATCCACCCATCATCCATTCCTTCCTTCCTTATTGTGCCATCCACTGCTATCCACTGCTATCCTCACACCTCCCTCGACCTCCCCCCACCTTGGACCCCAAATTTTCCGTGCTGTGCCTCTTCCCGCAAGAACCCCATCATATAAATTTGAGAAATCCAAAAGCCAAACCTCACTTCCTTGTCGGCGGCTAGGGAGAAGATCATACGAAAGAAGCAAACAAACACTTTACCAATCCGCCTACTTATTATATTCATTCTCTGTCTTACAATTGATTGTTACACATTCGTTTTTAAAAGAGAAAAGCGTCTTAATTTCTTCCGCCTCAACCAATTTGGACATCTCTCATCAATACCACCCAAAAGTTACGCGTCTACATATCCGATTTAGAAACCATGGCAGACCTTCAAGGAAGAAAGGTGTTCAAGGTCTTCAATCAAGACTTTATCGTCGATGAGAGATACACAGTCACCAAGGAGCTTGGTCAAGGAGCTTATGGTATTGTTTGGTACGATGTTACTTTCTTTCCGACCCTACCTGCATATGCGCATGTCCGTATCATGAACCTTTAACTAACAACGTTCTCTATGCCAGTGCTGCTACGAATTCTCAAACACAAGAAGGTGTCGCAATTAAGAAAGTTACAAATGTCTTCAGCAAGAAGATTTTGGCAAAGCGTGCGCTGCGTGAGATAAAGTTGTTACAACATTTCAGAGGTCATCGTAACGTATGCGACTCCTACACTCACGATGATAGTGGTGGGGTAGTTCTAACATGGCATAGATTACTTGCCTTTATGATATGGATATTCCTCGACCAGATAACTTCAACGAAACATATCTCTATGAAGGTAAGACGGGCTTTTCCATTCTGTAAACCGATGTTCCATGCTAATATCTTTTTCGCAGAGCTTATGGAGTGTGACCTCGCTGCTATCGTACGATCCGGTCAACCCCTCACTGATGCACATTTCCAATCTTTCATCTACCAAATCCTTTGTGGTCTAAAATATATTCATTCTGCGAATGTTCTTCATCGCGATTTGAAGCCCGGTAATTTGCTGGTCAATGCCGACTGCGAGTTGAAGATTTGTGATTTCGGTCTTGCTAGAGGTTTCTCGGTCGACCCTGAAGAGAATGCTGGATACATGACCGAATACGTTGCTACAAGATGGTATCGTGCCCCTGAAATTATGTTGAGCTTCCAGAGCTATACGAAAGCTAGTAAGTTATGCAATCGTTGTTTGAAAGGAAGAGTAGGCGCTAACATAAATTAGTCGATGTATGGTCAGTAGGATGTATTCTCGCAGAATTGCTAGGTGGTCGCCCTTTCTTCAAAGGTAGAGATTATGTTGATCAACTCAACCAAATTTTACATATCCTTGGTACACCAAATGAAGAAACTCTATCAAGAATTGGATCGCCACGAGCACAGGAATACGTTCGAAACCTCCCATATATGGCAAAGCGACCTTTCCCAACTTTATTCGCCAACGCCAACCCCGACGCCCTTGACCTTCTTGATCATATGTTAGCATTTGACCCATCCTCCCGTATCGATGTCGAAACTGCCCTCGAACACCCATATCTTCACATTTGGCACGATGCCTCTGATGAGCCTGGATGCCCAACAACATTTAACTTCGATTTTGAGGTTGTGGAAGATGTAGGTGAGATCAGAAAGTTGATTTTGGATGAAGTTCACAGATTCAGACAACATGTCCGTGTTCAACCTGGTCAACAAGGTCAAAACAATGGTCCTCAAGTACCTATACCACAAGAGCAAGCAAGCTGGCGTGCTGAGGATCCAAGACCACAAGAAGCTTATGGACAAGGACCAAATGATCTTGAACAAGATTTACAAGGTGGTTTGGATGCTATGCGATCGTAGAAGATTTGATTTTTATGAAGGGTGATTTTTGGGGGAGTGAGGGTATTAAATTCAAACTTGAATAAAGAAGAAAAGATTGATTGGATTGGATTTTCAGCGTGCGATGCAAGATTTCCGAAAGCAAGCATAAAACTATTTCTTGGCGCAGCAAATTTTAGCTCTTTCTCTGTCTCTAAAGACTTAACCTGACTACTGGAAAAATGAAAGGGTCTGGTCTATTAAATTACGGGAAAGGTCCTATAGCGGGTATTATCATTCTTTTTGTTGCATCGTGTCACTCTCTTAGCCATTTTTTTGCTGTTTTGTATCTCCTGTATCTGGTCATGCTGCGAGATGATAAAATGATGATAGTAGGGTTTAGGATGGAAGAGAATGAATAGATTACATTCGATGTTTGATATATTTCTAATGAGTATCTCCGTCACATTTTACTTTACACTCTAGATAATCCTAGCACGTCTAGGATATTGATTCTACCGCTTCGTCGTGGGGCTTGAGTTTTCCCACTCAGACTAGTGACCTAGGTTTCGTTGTGTTGGTGCATGTATCTTTGATATATATACATATGTTGGTTTTCAAGTTCTATTTTTATGGTATACAGAGTGAGATATCTATCTATTACGATGTGTTGTGTGGTGGTCTATCTATGGTGGCTCGAGGTGGTTCATATATGATGGTCTAAGGCGAAAGCTGAATTTTCCCCCATGTAAAACCTCGCACTCCGTTGCTGATCCAACATTCTTCTCCTTCGGTTAGGGAGTTGAGGGTTATGGTGCTTTCTTCGCAGATTCTGTTGTGGGGGTTAGTTTCGTTGGGTTGAGATGGGTTTGTGGTTTCGGTAGGAGGGGGGATGATTCTTGTTAGAGATGAGGGTGGGTTTGTAGGGGAGGGTATATGGAGAGAGTGTTGGAGAGGAATATGGAGAGAGTCATGGGAAGGAGAGAATGAGAGGAGTGATAAGATGATCAAGTAAAACGAACCCTTTTTCCAATGCCCATCGTCTAGTCGTTCCAATCTGACCCCCGCTGCTCTCAAACGGCGTAGCCCATTTCCCATCGCGATAGAAAAAAGGAGTGGTGAGGGACCCTTCCATGATCTCCCCATTTTTGGAAGAAATGAGCAGGACTTCTTGCGGGGAAGTAAAGGTAGGGATTTGGGCGCGCTCGCGCGCGCTGTTGTATTGAGATCGCGAGGTAGTTTTGAAGCTGGTGTAGGGGGTGGGAGTTGTGCGAGAGGGATCGGGGATGATAGTCCATGGGATGGAGGTGCTCGGGTCGCTGGGGAGAAAGGTGGTAGGACCGAGGGTTAGGGCGCCGCCTGTGAGGGAGGAGATGTAGGGAGTTGGAGGAAGGGAGATGGAGGAAGGAGGTGGGAGACGATTGGGAAAGAGATTGGATAGTGGGACGGGAGGGACGGGATTACTTTCGATGGTTAGGGTTCCGGTGTGGGAGAGGACGATGCGTACGCGTAGGGGGGTGGGAGATTGTGTATCGATGGAGGAGGAGAGGGTGCTGAGGAGGTTTTGGAATCCGGAGACTCCGGAGATGGCGGCGATGGCGGCGGGGAAGGAGAAGTGGGTTGCGGCTTGGAGGAGTCGGTCGCGGTGGTAGGGGAGCATGTAGAAGGGGGATGGGGTGGGGGTCGAAGTGGGGAGTGGCCAGGATTCGATGTTGAGGGGGGATTGGAGGAGGAGGGGGTCGTAGCGGAGGGAGGTGAAGAGTTGGAAGGGAGGGTTTGGGGAGGAGGAGGGGGAGGGAGACATGCTGGAGTGGGTGGTGGAGGAAGAAAGGATCTAAGGGGGTTCTTGTTAGATTCTTTCTATCTTGTGGTTTGGTATTTATAAAATCTGAATGAAAAATGGTGAAATAAAAAGATTACACATATTAGGATTGTGGTGCTCTTGATCTGATATATAATTTATGTGTCTCTGAGTCATAATCGGCTTCGCAAAGCGGAGAATCGAGTTCGTAGAAGAAACTTCTTCATGTGTGTGTAGGCATATCCGTTACACACTCACTCGATGTATGATCGCATCATAAAAACTTCAATAGCTTTTCTATCAAAAGAGAATGTTGATATGGTGTTTGGACTACCAAGCTAGAAGCAGCTATACAACTCATAGAGCTAAATGCAACAACCTCACAGGATAAAATCTTCCCCAAAGTCGACTTCTTCTCATCGCAATGAGAAGCATAATTTAGAATTAAATCTAAATCTCTTGGTGAATTAAGTGAATTAAGAAAGTTCACGTACGGTAAATTTAACGTTTCTTTTTGGAAATTAGTAAGTGTAGGTAGGGGCTCTCAAAGAATTGGAATAAGAAACTGTGATTTTGCTTTGAGGGGTTGGTGGATGGCATGGGAGTCACGTGGTGGGTGATATTAACCTTAGGTAGTGGGAGTTCTTCGGTAGTAGCGCCTCAGAATTGATCATTTGGCTGATTTCAAACTTCATTTGATTTCTTGTTAATGACAATATCAATGTATGATTCTGCAATACAAGTGTTTTCTCATATCATGAAACTTTGTATATAGAATTCATCTTGAGAAGTATCTCTAGTGACTCTGAGGTGATAGGAGGCTAAGGAGTGAGAAATAGACGACATGATGAATGCCTATCAGAAAACGATGCACCTCATGGGTGACAGGGCAGACGATGTTCGGTTTTCACAGTGGCGTAACAAGTTCCTTTCTCTTCAGGTGTTGGAATTTCTCCTATCATATTATGTTATCGGTACAGTAATTTTATATTGAGTACCATATGGTATCTTCTTTTGCTTCTAGAAGGTGTATATGCTGTTGCTCCGCATTCCTAAATCTTTGGAATGTATTCACCATGAGTCAGCGATTTTATGCATCCGTCGAGATTGTAATCGACGGTTGCAGCTTATTTGTAATGAATTTATTGCATAGTATGATGGTAGTAGAATGTTCTCCAAACCAGGAATAGACTGTTGCTGCCAGATACCTCCCAGCTTGTTTTATGAATCGTGGTTGCTGAAACCCTTTCCACATACTTCTTCCTATCTGACCCCGTCATTTGGGCTGTACTTCGATGAACTGAGATACCTAGAGTTGCTTGGTACGATTTAATCAACTATATCATTCAGACTGCGCCCTAGGAAAATACAACCTGCTAAGCATTAGCTAGCTTTGGATGCGTAGTAGAAGCAATGGGTAAGTAATATCATATTCTCTTATGTGTTTTAGGTAGGAGCTGACCTTTTATATTCAGATTCTTCTTCTGCCGATTCTTCTTCTGTTGTAAGCGATAACTCTCTCGCAACGTTGAAGTTGAGATTTAAATCATCAAAGCAATTCTGGAGACTCTTCCGAAGAGGCTTCATCCGATGGCTTATCACATTTGTCCTGATATCTCTTCTTTACATAACAATTCGAGTCGTTTCAAAGGACCAAGATATGATTGAAGAGGAGAAGCAATTTTTCAACGCCATCTCGCTCTATCTGGTTTTGATGATTGGAATGAGTCTCACTTTTGGATTTGAGGCTATGGCAATCGACCTCAGATGGTGGATTTTAAGTAGAAGGGAAAGAAGTCTAAGAGACGTGAGTTTCATGACCACACTCATCCAATAGCCCCTGTTGAATAAACCACAAGATCGATACAATTCTACACGCTGACAGCCTTACCACTGTCTCTAGCCTCCTTGGACGCACAATTTGGTATGAGATTAGACATTTCACTTGGGATTGGGATTTGGGCACTATGATCATGTCATGTTTACTTTGGATTCTTCTCAATATCGTAAGCTCATTGTATCAACTATCCTTAGATACGTAGACTGACAAAAATAGGGTGCTCAAGTGGCCATAGCATCTGTTGGACTTACATATTCAGTTGATACTGTTGAGAAGATGGCTCATATGTCTCGTGGGAATGTTTCTTATCCTAATATGACACAATTCTTTCCCGTAAAGCTTCCAAATGGTAGAGCTTCGATAAATAACTTGGGCGCACAACAGTATACAGCAAATAGGTGAGTTCCTTCGTGAGGCTATGTTCATGAGCGATGCTAATTATTAGTTTCGGTATGATGGCTTTAAATTTGTGGTCTACTACTCAACCAATTTCTGAACCAGCAACAATCTACAAATCTGGATTGACAGCTGATTTATTCGGGATTGATAAACGAGGTTGGGTCTTTGTATTTACGGATACTTCTTCCGATGGCTCAACTTTTGCGTACTCGGATCGTACTATCAAGTCTACATCGAGTTGTGAAAGCTATCCTGTGTTGGAGGGTGGAAATGGTAATTTTAAAAATTTGAACATAAGTAAGAACGGAAAATCAGAGGCCTTCAAGGTCAAATTACCAATCGCTGCTGGACCAGATCAGACAACATTCTTCACCGTACCATTCAAAACATGCGGCGAAGGTTGTAGCATTGTTGAAGCACTCGAGGCTTCCGCAAACGAACCTTGGTATTACAAATGCAACATTACAGTCGGTCCTGTTATCAACGCGCAAAACGCAAATCAAGAAGTATCTCTACCACTCCGCCATATGTCATCAGCAGCAATCGCTCTACAAGGTTATACAGCTAATCCTGAACTAAACGATACTCAATATTGAACATATGTCTCTGAGTCTACTTACGGCTATCCGCGAAATGGATCTGCGAATGATTTTGGATATCAAATATCGTATTTTGCTATTGGTGCTATAGCTGCTGCTGCGAATTCTAACAATCCCTCAATATACGCGATTGGAGATCGGCCTGTTATAGGAACTCAGCTCAAAATTACTCAACATGCGCTTCTCTTGGGACTTTTGATTGGTCTCGTTTCTGTACAAGCGATCTGTTTTATAACAACGGCGTTTATAGCAAATAGAGTGGTGGTTAAAGATGAGAGTGTCTTTTCTACAGCGAGTATACTGCGGCCGGTGATGAGTTCTCTGGGAAACCATGGGAATGTTGCGGAGGGCGAACAGATATGTGATGTTCTTAGTCATTTGAGGTTGAGATATACGGCTGTTCAGGATGAGAAGGATAGATCTGTGTGGAAAGTGGGACTTAGTAATGCTGAAAGGCTGAGGAGGTTTCCGGACTTGAAAGTGTATGATTGATTTGTAGATTTGTTTCTCTAGTTTCTAAGATGGATGGCTAGATTTCAAGAAGGGTATATGATACTCCGGACTATGGCATCTAGATCTACTTGAAACATACACTTTTTATTTGTGTAGATTTACTACAATATCTAGCAAGAAATCTTGTAGATTAACAATTCCCTTCCCCTGAACATCCTGGAAGCGGATAGTAGATGTCACCCAACGCGCAAGTTATAAATATAGAGGTCTAAGAGTTTGTAAGTGCCGATGGCTATAATTGGTGCAAATGTAAATTTTGGTCTTATAGTAAATCTACCCCTCGCCAAAGGCGGCGGGGATTATATGGATTTTCCATGCGACGAGTGGTGCGAGTCCACAATGACGAAAGAGCGCCGCTTTAGCCGTCATGCGCTAAGGATGGCCAATGCCGTAGCTTGACTTGATGATTAAACTGGTATCACCAAGATTTTTTGATCTGGTCATTGAATCCACCTTCAATTTGAACATCAAGATTGTAACCACCACCTATCAGCTATACCATTCATAATCCTCCCCCTTACCCTACTGCATCTTCCTTAATCGCCCATTTTATTGTTTTTAAATGTCTGTACCAAGTACAATGCCTCCGGGCAAACCCATGCCAAATTTTGCGGCATCAACACCACAATCATCAGTCTGGGATCGCATAACCACATGGGCTTCTGAGAACAAGGCAGTTGTATATACAATCGCTGGTGTGGCAGTAGTAGTCTCAGGAGCTGGAGTTGCATACTATTTATTAGACTCGGTAAGTTGTATCTTACCACTGGTTTTGGTAGATACATGATCATTGTAGATGCTAATACATTCATTACATTAGAAGGATTCCACATCTACCCAAAGCGTGCCAAGGAAGTCGAAGGAAAAGAGGCGAAGGAAGAAGGAAGAAAAGAAAGAAGCCGATTTAGAAAAGGGAACCACGCCAGCTGATACCAAACCTAAAACACCAGTCGAGACTGTGGATGAACTTCCTGAGGTCGACGAAAACACTGTGGGAAGTCTATCGGATCAACAACGTAAAGATTATGCCGCCAAGTTGAAGGCAGCTGGTAATACCGCATATGGAGCTAAAGATTATCCACGAGCCATCGATCTTTATGGGAAGGCCATCCTTTGCAAGCCGGATCCTATCTTCTATTCGAACCGCGCAGCATGCTATAACGCTCTTGGCGAATTCGAGAAGGTTATTGAGGATACTACTGCTGCGATCAATCTCGATAGTGGATATGTAAAGGCCTTGAACCGTAGAGCAAATGCTTATGAGCATACCGAGAAATACAGTGAGGCTTTACTCGATTTCACAGCCAGCTGTATTATCGATGGTTTCCGTAATGAGCAAAGCGCACAATCTGTTGAGAGACTGCTCAAAAAAGTAGCTGAGTCTAAGGCAAAGGTCATTCTTGAGGCCAAGGATAAGAAGCTTCCAAGTCCAACATTCGTCACCAACTACCTCCAAAGTTTCCGATCGAAACCCGCCCCTGCAGGACTAGAAGATAGTGTTGAGATATCAGAGGAGTCAGGAAAAGGACAACTACAACTCGGACTTCGAGCTATGGCAAAGAAGACCAATGAGGGATATGAAGATGCTTCAGCTGCATTTGAGAAGGCCTTAGAAATGGGGGATCTCGGTGAGCATGAAGCTTTTGCTTACAACATGCGTGGAACATTCAGATATCTTCGTGGCGTACAAATTGATGCTTTGGGTGATTTGAGCAAGAGTATCGAACTGTCGCCCGACTACACTCAAAGTTACATCAAGCGTGCAAGCATGCATTTGGAACTTGGTTAGTACTTACAGTCCATTAATTTATGATTAGCTACTAACACGAAAATCAGGTGACAAGGATGCCGCAGCTGCCGATTTCGATAAAGCTATGGAACAACATGACGATGACCCTGATATCTACTATCACCGTGCCCAACTCAATTTCATCCTCGGAGAACTTTCACAAGCAGCAAAGGACTACCAAAAGTCTATTGATCTTGACCGAGATTTCATCTTCTCGCACATTCAACTCGGTGTTACACAATATAAGATGGGCTCAACCGCATCATCGATGGGAACATTCAGACGCACAATCAAGGCATTCGAAGATGTACCTGATGCATACAACTACTACGGAGAGCTTTTGTTAGATCAACAGAAGTATGATGAAGCTATTTCACAATTCGAAAAGGCCGTTGAGTTGGAGAAGCAAACTAAACCATTAGGCATGAGTGTTCTTCCACTCATTAACAAAGCTCTTGCTCTTTTCCAATGGAAGCAAGATTTCAGTGAAGCTGAGAAACTTTGCGAAAAGGCTCTTATCAGTACGTTGATTTTCCCCAGCCATTTTCCCCCTATACTAATGTAATTCTGAATAGTCGACCCTGAGTGTGACATTGCTGTCGCAACCATGGCACAACTTCTTCTTCAACAAGGCAAGGTAACTGAAGCACTTACGTACTTTGAGCGAGCAGCGGAATTATCCAGAACAGAAGGAGAAATTGTCAATGCTCTGAGTTATGCTGAAGCTACGAGAACACAATTGGAAGTCCAGGAGAAATATCCAGAATTGGCTAGTAGATTAGCGGGTATGAGTGGACTCGGAGGAGCTGGTATGCGTTAATTTACTAGCATTGAGAGAATCTGATAAGTTGAATGGAATGATAAAGTGATGATTCTGATATCATGAATGAATTGATGGGCAAAGTGGTTGGAACATAATCAGCACAGAAGCATCGAGAATGTTGAGGTTGCATGGATGTGTTGACTCCATGATTTGATCTTGAGTAAAAAGAAAGGCAGAACGAAAGCACAATTCAAATGTAAAATTATTATTTCTCAACTCATGGTGAAAGGCCTGGTCCACTCACTCATGAAATTTGGAGGTTGGGGTGAGTTGGGGGAGGGAGTTTATAATATAATATGAGGGGATGAGTTATGAGATGTATGAATGTGATTAGGGGTACTCATGGTTGGAACTATTGAGTGAATGTGTATTGGTAAGTATGATTGTGTTTATATATTGGGTTTTGTGGTTATGTGATTTTTTTTTTAAGAGCTCAGGTACTCAGGACTAGTCGTCTCGTGAGGTAGAATGATATATACATTTGGGTGTTCTTGTATTGTTTTTTATTTCTATCTATTCTTATGGGTAGGTATTGAAGGATTGGTGTTTGAGAAGGTGTAGGTGGAATGAGATGGGAGTTTGTGTGTAGATAAGGAGAGAAGGAGAGGTAGGAGAGTGGAGAAATTGGGAATGGTAGAGATCGGGTCGTGATGCATTGTTTAGGGTTTGGGGGTATGGGAGTGGAGATGTGAGATGTATGTTATGTTGTGCTGTATATGAGGAGAGGCATAGTGACGAGGTGGGATGAAACGAGGTGAAAATCTCAATCTTTTATCGCTCACGTTTCTTTTCTATTTTCACATCTACCTATCTAGGTAGGTATCACAATACGTATACCTACTCACCTACTCTACACAATGTCTCTCTTTCCATTCTCTACTATTCATCCTTCGTACGCTTATGAAGAGAACGCTTCACAGAGCGTCGGCTCAATTCCTCGCTTTTCTTCCTTCCTACCTACAGCAAGAAAACTAGGTATGATATGATCTGTATGCAGAATATGAGGATACAAAGCTAGCTAGCTAGCTACATAATCCTCACCCATCATATATGCTTAACCGAGAGGTCTTTGTTCTACATGACTTGTACGATTTTGTCAGACGTATACGAAAACGTGATCGCGTGGATTTATGGACTGTTTTGGGATATGGGGTTTGTATGTGTGAAGTGCATGTATGTATGTGTGCGGGAAGTGAGGAATCCGGTTTTGAGGTATCACGAGATCGCATTCGGTTATGTGGTGGTTTAGGTGGGTTTAGGTGGGTTTAGGTAGGTAAATAGGTAGGTAAATAGGTAGGTAGGTAGGCAGGTAGGTAGGTAAATATGTATGTGAGGAGGCGGGGTGCAGAAGTTCTGGAAAGATGCATGGGTGGGTGTGTGGGTGTGGTTTTTTCGGGTGCTGTGAGAAGTTGTAGAATCTGTGAAGTTGTAGATTGTAGATAGGTAGATGGATGAAATCCATGGTGAGTGAACATAGCGTAGAGAAACGTCATCTCATGATGGAGAACTTAGGTTGTGTTCAAATTCACATGTACGAGATATGCGAGGGCTGAGGATTGATCCCTTCTTTGCGTTAGGTTCATAGCATGAATTTTAGAGAGATACTAGGTGCACAAGTAGGTGGTAATATCAAGAAAATGTATGTGATACTAGATAGGCGGTCTTTAAGTCTGTACAACCAGTATCAATGGATGTAATAAGTCTCTTATCCTCGAAACCTTTATCCCATTCAACAGATACTCATGTGATTTTCACGTGATATTGATTTTTTTCCGTGTGTCAAAACATGGATTGCACAGCAGCAAGCACCAAGCACCACACATCATATTCCAAAAGAGCAAATGATCTTCTTCATACTCATGTCAATCGGGCGTAAAGGTTTGAGACTGAGACTGACAGTATGAACAGTACGGATTAAATGAATAGCTGAGTAATTGATTAGTCGTACATCGTACATTGATTTTCCCAAAGGATGCCCAGCCCAGCCCAGCTACTGCTGCCTAGTATTGGATTCTGCAAAGTTCAAACATCCCCCCAGATTTCTTTTTTCTTCTTCTTCTTCGCTTGCTCGCCTCACTTCCCTCACCATGCAATCCAATGCAATCCAATGCAAGCCTCACTCTCACTTAGCACAGGATTTACATTTACACGTTTTTCATTGCTTATCTCTCTCTTACCCTTCACTTCACTTCACTTCACTTCACCTCATTTCATTCTTCAAGTATAATCAGTACATATCTATGACCAGAGGAAGGAGAAGATCCATCACTTGATGAGAATGAAAAGCTTATAAATAATTATTTCTTCATTTGTGTGTCTGCACTTATTTATTAAACAAGACTTCATTCATTGGCTGTTGTGTCGCACTCTTTCTACTTCCCTTCCATTGCCCGCGCGCCCGGAATCCATTGGTCTTAATACCCCGATTCTCTCACCGAAAACCACTCGCTCACTCACTCACTCACTCACTCCCTCACTCACTCACTTACTTACTTACTTACTTACTCACTCACTCACTCCCTCATCTCACCACATCACATCTAGCACGCGCACCTCGTAAGCATTTCGATCGCCTGCTTCTCCATCAGTGTCGCATATTTATATATATATATACATTCAAACTATTGTATTTTGCCTCATTACTCTCTTTGGAAATCTCATCTCGCAAACCATTTTCCTTTCCTCGTCTACATACAGTACTCCGAGTTGTCATTTGAACCATGGTTCACGATTAAGCGTACGGGTCATTTGCCCTGCGTATGCGAAAGTCTTCTTCGACTTCTCTCTCATTGCTGCGGCTCATCTCACGTCAAATAACATTTTGTCCACTTCCAAGACTTTGATATATTGGTTATATCTCCTACAGTTTTCCTCATATCTCTCGTCGGTTTGTTATGTCGGGTCGAGTAGAAGCTTGTCAGAGTATTGACTGACAGCAAATAGCAATGTCGATGCATCCAGTCTATCCCCGTAATGGGAGTTATCCACGCCATGTATGATCAATTCTCCCACCCTTTCAACTTCTTCCATGAGCTATGTTCTGATGGAAAATCTTAGTATTATCCCTCACCTCCTTCCATGCATACTTCAGATTCCGGATATGGTTCTACACGAGGAGAGATGGCTCCACCATCATTAGATTTTCCACCTCAACCTATTGAGATTGATCTGAGTAATTCGAGGACCCTTCCAAGTCCTTCCCCTTCTTCTTCGGTTGCTTGGGAGCCAACATTGTTTCCTTCTCCTCATGGATTTCCTGACATAAATTCCCCACATGGACCAATTTCCAGGATGCAACAATTGCCAATGGATCGTGCGACAGGCCAGGCTCCATTACTCCAATGGTATGCCGATAATGATGGACCTTGGTACCCCAAGACAATTTCGGATCCCATCTCAGAGGAGAGAACAAATGTCAAGGTTCGTTCAAATAATCGTGCACCCGTTGCTTTCGGAGGGCCGTATCGTCAACAAGATCCCTTGGAGAATGGACCCTTTCACTTTGGTGGCCCACCACAATCAGATTCTGGATATGAAACCAGAAGGAGCCATGGAAACGCTTCAATCTTTAGCTCTGATATTAATGATCGCGATCAAGACTGTCAAAGTTTAGCAGGTCATGTTGCAGACTATCAGCCTTTTCAGGGGTTGAGTGAGGCATTGCAATCTCGCGAGAATAAGACACCATGGCCAACACATCTTCCGGCTTCTATTAACTCGCCAGGACTGTTCTGTTCGACCTGCCACAAATTCGTAAAAACAAAATCTGAGTTGAAGTCCGTTCCTTTAGTGATCTGCCATGACGAATCACCACTAATCTTTTACAGGAAGCATGACTTACGACACAAAAAGCCCTTTGTGTGTAACTATCCAGGTTGCGGAAGAACTGAGGGATTTAGTACAACCAACGATCTAGATCGACACACCAAGAGCAAACACCCCTTAGCTACGACCTCGAAATCGGAGTCAATAAAAAGATACCGCTGTGTTGTACCCGGGTGTAAGTCCAAGGATAAAGCATGGCCACGACTCGATAACTTCCGTAGTCACTTAAAACGGGTTCATTCAAACGCCGTTCGATTGGAAGAGAACTTTGAGGAAATGATACGACAGTAGGTCTGAGAGGACTTCAATAACATTTGTTGGGACTAATGTTGTTTAGGGCTGAATTTTCCGAACCCTCGGGTTTGCCCCAAAATGCCCATGTTTCTGCAGAAGTGTCTCCCCACGATATCTCGCATGACAGGGAAGTTAACGAATGTTCACCTAAAGCCCAGGACAACGGAAACAATTGGAAATCCGTGTATCCAGACTTGATCCAGGATTTAGTCACCTCAATGGACAATCCAATGGAGAAACCTCTCGTCGCGGATGTGAATACCAGTGTTACTGCTATATCTGGACCGAACAATCCTCCCTCGGATTCACATAATAATGATACCATTCAACCATCGGAATTATTTCGAAATCCATCAGAGGTCATTAACAAAATCTTTTTAGAAAGTGATGCCTCAACCCTAGTGGGTACAAAGAGTGCTTTGGATCGTAATCTTGATCATGTAAGCCGTCCATCGGTGGAACGAAATCCATTACCACCTGCAGGTAAGGCAACTCGGCATAGTAGCGTCTCAGCCACTGATGCAACCATTACCGAAGCAATTAGAACCGCATTGTCAGAGACAAAAAATCCATCCAACGTTGGTGCATTGCCGATGGGACGGAAAGTTTTGCCTAATGGGAAATCTCCCCCCGCTGATTCCTGGGGATCCACAACAGATAAAGCTGCATGCTTACCAGATGGATTCAATAAGTCTACTTCTTCAACAGATGATTCCCTGGACCAGGAAAAAGCCGTTGAGGTTTACAAAACGCTTCAAAAGTTAGGTTACATTATTCAAAAGGATCCAAATCATACACCTCGGATACAAAACCCAGGATCTGTTGCCAGCAATAAGAGTGAAAACCAAGTTACCTGTGAGGTTTGTAAAAAGTTCAAAGGAAGACCTTGCGAGTTGAAGTAAGCTCAAACTCTACGTCTTGCATCATTGTTACTGATTACAAATAGAAAACATATGAAACGGCACGAGAGGCCTTACGGCTGTACTTTCTTGGCCTGCCACAAAACATTTGGAAGTAAAAATGATTGGAAACGACACGAGAACTCGCAACATTTTCATCTGGAGACCTGGCGTTGCGACAATGAGAAGCCCGAAGGTGGAGCATGTGCGAAAGTCTCTTATCGTCGCCAAACATTCCAAGATCATTTAAAGAAAGAACATGCTATAATTGACCAAGATACTGTTAAGATTAAGGTCGATACTTGTCGTATTGGCCGTAATTGTCAGGCTCGTTTCTGGTGTGGTTTCTGTAAGACGCTTGTTGATCTTAAGAAGAAGGGTCTTGATGCCTGGACTGAAAGGTTTGATCACATAGATGACCATTTCATGGGGCGCCACAGACTTCAAAAACAAAGCATTCAGGATTGGATTCCAGTTGATAGTGATAAACCCAAGGGCGACGTCGCCAGTCCAAATCCTTTAGGTGGATCTTCACCTAAAGATGACCGTCAGGAATTTTCAACAGATTCTACCAATGATTTTGGTAGAAGCTCACCCGAATCTGTCGGTAATATAGGAGTCTCGTCTGATTTGGTGGGTCAAGAGCCCAGAATAACCAAGAAACGAGAACGCAACCACGATGAGATTGACAGGCCAGCAAAGTATACAAAGATAGGGGAGATTGTTTACTGTGTACGCGCTCCTATTTTACTGTGCAATATGCAATCGCTAACGTATTTACAGTGTCATTGTGCAGATGATCTCGGACGTACTCTTGCTCTTAGTCCCAAGTGTACTTCCTGCAGTCATGATTTTTGCAACGAGTGCAAGAGTGATTCGATAGGTAATTGTGAAGGACAAAAAATCTGACATGTTCATGGATATTGATTGGAGTTTTTTAATGTGGTATTGACCACTTTACATTTGAGAAGGGATAATTGTGTAAAACTAATGGGTCTGCAATGTAATTGGGTAGGAATTTGAAAAACTGGGAGGGAAGATATCCAGGGATTTTTACATTTGCGTTTGCAAATTTAACCTTATGGTAGAAAGAAAATCTTTTCCATAAAATGTAAAGGTTAGCGAGGGGCACAGTAACTCGTAAATTGATTATTTTGGACATACTATACCTATGATAGTGGGAAGTGTTGAGTGATCGTGTTGAATAACAACTCCAATGGTTGGAATACGATATTTTCAGCCGCAATGATAACCGCTTTCCAATCCGGCCCATGAAGGAGTTATCTCGCTTAACACACACGAATAGATTCTAGATGGTGTAGGGCACATAGTGCTCATAGGATAACATAGATTACCACATTTGTAAAAACTGCGCAGGATCAAGGGCAAAGCCACATATAATATGCAAGTTTCCCTCCACGTGGCGCACCTTTTTCTACAACATGAATACATGTGAAGCTAGGCCCATTTTGGTCACCGAGTTTTTAGTGTGGAAGTGTGGTTTGGACATGTAGGTAGGTGTAGGGCGAAGTAAGCGGAGCCAAAAAGTGAGGCTGCATATATGTATGTGTATCCATTGCCTGTCTGTGGAAAGAGGGGTATTCTTGATTCTTTAGGGGATATCTTTCTGGGCGTTGAAGCTTGCTCACAGGGCATTGTTGGGTTTGGTACTGCATGCATTCGGAGATCTTGAAGATTACATTCATATGTGAGCACTGAGCAGACACTGCTCGGTGGCATAGGAAGATGTGGAATGTTTGTTAATACTACTTCTTCGTCGTACTCGATCTTCAATGTGGATAGCCGGGTTTGTGTAGCATTTGGATATAGATTTGGTTTAGATTGATGTGATGATTGTGGAATGGGGGGAAGGGGTAAAATGGGCAAGAAAAGAAAAGAAAAGAAAAGAAACCTGAGTGTTCTAAACGACCCAGCGAATTAACCTTAACGAACGAAAACGCATGTTGAACGCTTGATTATACCGATTGCATCGTGATGCATTCATTGCGACTGCGATACAGACTCGGCAGTCTCTGTTATTATTTGGGGGCGGTTTTCAATATCGGCGATTGGGGTGTTGGAGGATTTGATGGTGTGGGTGGGGGCTAGAGTGCTGACACCCAATATGAACCAATGAGGAAGGAAAGGGAAGAGGGAAAAGGGGAAAGGAAAAGGAAGAGGAAAATGTTAAAGAAAAGGATTGGGTGTTCTTGGCTGTACAATGTATGCTTTGAAGCAGAAACGAATGCGAATATTGTGTTACAGCAAATTTTGGAGCAAAAGGCGAAGCAAAGTTATTGTACATACTGTAGCTCTCTCTAAGCGAAGGAGCGGAAGAAAACAAAGTTTCCCCAGTGAGCCCGATCGTAAGGTTATCGAATGAGAATTTTATTTTGTGCCGAGAGAACTTTACTCAATTGACGGAACGGCTTGTGGGTGCTGTTCGAATGATGGATAAAAAACAATAATAACAATTCTCGAAATTTAAAGAATTGACGTCGAGGTCTGCCTAGTGGTCGCCTTGTCCGCCTTACACACATGCACGAGGATTAGCTTTGTACATGTGTCTCATTGGTTCTAATGTGGAATCCATGTTAGGATAGTAGAAAAAGGAAACGAAAGAGCATCTGCACGATTGACTAGCTCGGTCGGGTCTCCACTCGCATCATGATTAAGAATCTCGACATGGGCAAATTGTTTGAGGTGGAGGGTGGTATGCGGTGCCCTGTCAGAGCTGCTTCAAGCCATCAAGGAACATGAGGAATGATGAGGGGCGCAGCACAGAGAGAGTCATCGATCTCCAATACATTTATGGGCTCAGGGGGTATGCACGCCAAAGTCGACATACAGAAACGTTGGAATTATGTGAGGAGATCCTTCACCGGCCTCCTGTGGGACCGACCCTTCTCACCTTGCGGCTCTGTGAGAAATGGCAAATGAACTTGTCGCTCCCAAATGGTACACATGTGAACTTTGGTGGAGGATATGTTGAGGCTTGTCCTCATACATCAGAGATTTGTCGTGCCGTTTCTGATTTCTTTGTTTTCTTGTATCATCTGAATACCTACATCATATCTATTACATACATAACCACTGCGCCTATCGTTCTCGCTACTTCGCCTCCGACTTTCCCCAAGTCTCAATATCTCCATCTTCGACTATCCACCAGTGGATTTTCCTGACCTGGTAATCTGAAATTCATGGTTTGGTTTGTGCATAAATAAAACCAAAGGTCGTGTGTGCAAAAAAAAAAAGATTTATTGTTTGTTTGTTAGTTATCTGCAAAAGGATTTGTTGGAAGTTCGCAGCAAGGTGGAGATACTCGAACTACGTTTGTGAGTTCTGTTTGTTCTGTTTGTTGTCTCTCCTGTCCTGTCGTCTTGATTCATGACTTTATTTGGGATACACAAGAAACTTATTCCGCAGTAGGATCAATAAGAAAACAAACAAATATCAGCTCTATTCCTTCCAAGCTCACTGCTTTGTATCTCTTTCTCTTCTAGAAGCTTGGCTCCGCCCCATTTCTTCAGTCTAGAATCGTGGGGGCCAAAAGCAAAAATCAAAATCGAAGACGCATCTATATTGGCTATTCGATTACTTCCACTTATATTATTTGGACATCATGTCTTACGATACTTTACCTTACTCGACTATGGAACCACTTTTCTTCCAGGAAAATAGATCAAATCCTCAAGCTTTTCGTCATGAGGATTTGATGGGAATTGAAAGTTCTTGGATCCAGAATATTGATCCACTTCTTCGTCAATCTCAAATAAGCTCTCCGGATTTCGAATACCGTCAAGATTTACCACAGCAACCTTTACAAAGATTCATCACAGAGCCAGGACGAGCTCTCTTTACTACTATCCCAACCATGACTCAGTTCGATAGCTTTTCTCGACCGCCTCATCGGGCATTCGGACCCGTTAGTGTCTACCCTCAAGCTTCTCGAACAAGAATGATATCTCCTTCTCCTTCCCGAGAGCTCTCTTCCAACTGCAGTAGTGCTCGAAGTCCAACTACCGAAACAGATTGGTTTCACGATGGATACTATTCCTCTCAGGGCCAAGATGATTACACCCTACCCAATACCTCTCATACTACCTCGCAAAACTTCTCTGATATATGGTCACCACCACAAATCCTATCTGGACAGTCAACTGGATATCCATGTGTTAATCTCAGTGATGTTCAGGCATTTGCCGATCCACAAGAAATCAAATTCGAGACGGATGAAACATATGTCGATTATGCGATTCAAGCATCAGAATCCAGAAGTCACAAATTAGCTTCTCATATATCACATTATAGAGACGAGGGATTAGGAGCTTCGATTCGAGATGCTGCATCGCCTCAAGCAATTTCTATCCAAGCTTCGAATAACGATAATACATCTACAATCTCTGATGCTGATATTGATGCAGAAGGCGATGATATTGATATTGGCAATAATGGGGAAATAGAAATGGATACAGAAATTGAATCCGAACTACTACCCCAAGATGGCGACATTGAAGAAGAAGACGAACCATCAGACACAGAATACACTCCCCGTCCCTCCACCCGCAATCCACGCAAGCGTACCAGCACAACTAAATCCTATTCTCCCCCCACCCCAAAACGCAACCGCATATCCAAATCCTCCACATCCACATCCGTATCTAAATCCTCCTCCAAATCCTCAGGAGGTCTCTCCTGTAAACAATGCACCACCACCGGCTTCAAAGATACACCTACTCTCCAACGACACATCGCATCCGCGCACACTCGTGCTTTCATCTGCGTCTTCAATTTCGCAGGTTGCGAAAGTACGTTTGCATCGAAAAACGAATGGAAACGTCATGTTTCGTCGCAGCATCTCAATTTGCAAGCTTGGGTGTGTACGCTTGGGTCTTGTGGGAAGGTGCCTTTGAGTTCGCACTCGGGCTCCGGTTCTGCGATGCGGAAAGGTGGGGAGGAGAATCCGAATTCGAATTTGAATGGAAATGTGAAGGTGAATGCGCCCGGGTATGGAGAAGTCAAAGGCGCGGAGTTTAATCGGAAGGATTTGTTTACGCAGCATTTGAGACGTATGCATGCCCCGTTTGAGGTAAAACGGAAGGGGAAACAGAATAGAGAGTGGGAGGAGCGAGTGAGGGTTCTACAGAGGAGTTGCGAGAGGAGTCGCCGAGAAGCGCCAGAACGATTGGGGTGTCCGGTGAGAGGGTGTGCGGAAAGGAAAGAAGGGAAGGGAGTGTGGTTTGAGGGGAGAGGATGCTGGGATGAGAGGATGGAACATCTGGGGAAACATTTGGATAGGATGGGAGAGGGGGAGGAGGGAGGGGTCAGGCAGGAAGAGGATGGGCTGTTTGTGGAGTGGGCGATGGAGCAGAAGATTATTGAGAGGGGGGGCAGGGGGGAGTGGATTCTTTGTAGGGGGAAGGGGGGACATGGGTGGGCGAGGAAGAGATTGGCTGGGTTGGAGAGTGTGGGAATTAAGTTGGAGGAGGATTTGGATGCTGAGGGGGAGGATGAGTGATGAGTGATGAGTGATAGAGGGATCTGAGAGAATGGATCCCCTTTTTCTTGTTTTCGTCTCTTTTCACTGGAAAATGTGGGATTGTGAAGGCTATGAATCTGAATACTCCAGCCACGACGGCCCACGAAATACGAAGGACAAAACACGAAACACGAAATACGAAGTTACGAATGATGGACTATGAATGACGGATGATGCGGCGTTACATTCCCCTTTTATTTTTGTTTTTATTTCTCTTTCCGTTATATTTTATGTTTCTCGGGCTGGGTTAGGGTCAAGAGAAATAGATGGTGTTTTATTTTGTTTATATTTTATTTTATTGTGCTCTGTTTTGTTCTGTTCTGTTGTGATCTGTTGTGTTTCTAATTTACTTTAGTGATGAATAACGATGATGTATTTTTCCTCTGCTTTCTTCTTTCTTCTTATAGGACTGGGATTAGGGTTTGGGATGAGTTGGCTTGGGATTAGTTACCTATGTTCAGGTTAGGTTAGATTAGGTTCGGGCAATAATGGATTACTTGGCGCAGATAGGTAGCTTGATATATCTATTTCTTCCACTTTGAATACTGGGGCGTTTGAATGAATTTCAGAAGTATGGTGTGTGAAGTTTACTATTCTTTGCACAGCGACAAGGGAGTTGAGTTGGTATATTTATATTCAGGATGTACTGCTCTTGCAATGGTGATATCCATATGAGTGAAGTATTGGAGGGTCCAAGTTGAACTTGTGACTAAAAGCAACACTCTTGCTACCTCTCAGACACATCATTATTTCAAAATAAACCTCTTCAGACTGACTTAACTCCTATTAACAATCTCCTGCCTACCGCCAATCTTCGCCAATCTCTCTTCACTCTGTGCCTCTCCTTCTTTAAATCCTATTGCACTCGCTAAGCTTCTCGCTTCTTCATATCTTCTCCTAGCTTCCTTGATATCCCCATCCATTTCTGCGAATTCTCCTAGATTATGTGTTGCAACAGCACATCCAATATTACATTCTTCAGTTCTTTCTGGGGGTGCTATTTTTGCACAAATTTCTAAGGACTTGGTAGCCCATGCGCGGGCATTTTTGATTTGTTGCGAGCGGGATAGTATGGGTTGGCCTAGTTCTGGTGGTGGATTTTGTTGAGCTAGCGAGATGGAGAGATTGTTCACTGTGGAAGGTGGTTAGTGGGTGGCTTTCAGAACGTAGAGAGAGAACAAACTTAGAACGGCTGTGTGGCAAGTAGCTGGACTAGAGAGAGCGATAGCTTGGAGAAATAGTGGTGCGGCAAGGTGGTGTTTATCAGTTGCTTCATAGTGATGTGCAAGAGCTAGAAAGAAATCAGCTTGATCCGAATTGACATCTTGAATAGACATAGCAATATAAACCTTCAAAAGTTCCGCCCATCTCTTCATCCGATAACCAAACTTCTTCCCCAGGTCTGATCCCTTCTTTCTGTCTCCTCATTTGTTCCTTTAATATAGTCTCCACCGCATACACCAAGCTTTCCTCAGCCTTATCTGGTTGTAAGACATATTCCCCGTTGTATAAATCAGCAATTTTGACACTGATCTCTATCATCCTCCTAAGAACTCTCGTCCTCTTGCCAATATTCCTCTCCAAATCTCCTAATTGCTCCATCCATTTCCCACAGTCATCTCTCATGATTTCGTAAACACCAATCGCCTTATCATAGGCTTGAATCTTCTCTAACAATACACAAACGGATATTTTGATCCCGAGATACTCGTCAGAAAATGGATCCATACCCATCTCATCTGCAACTCGTAAAGCCTCTTTGTAATATTTAACAGCATTCTTAGGTTCAAGAGACATATTGGTGTAGTAAAGGGCCTTTCGCAGTTGCTTCGCTACCGGTTCGGGAAAGGCCTTGAAACCGTCGATTATGTATTTATTATACCACCAATTGATATATCCCAAACAGAAAACTCCGAATCCTATACTGTATTTGCAAATGCTATATTAGCACTGCACATCAAAGCCGTAAAAGCGGACGGATTGAGGTGTAAATTACGCTATTGTAGCTCCGGTCATGCTATATGGATGTGCTTGAAAAAGTATTTTGGCATTCCTCGTGAATGAACCTTTGGAGCGGTTAATCCTAGGTTGTGCTCCTCGTGTAGATTGCCATCTCTGCTGCTGTGTACGACATGGTATGGAGTTTCTGGTAGCAGGTCTACTGGATCTTGTAGCTTGCACTCGTTGTTGACGAAGACATTGTGATGCGCGATTAGAAGCGCCGGCAGACCCGATTGAGGTTGCGAACCGTGGTGTGAACATTTTGGAAGCTGGTTCTATAACAATCGCACAATTGAATATAGAAATCTAGGCACAATTGTTGTTGGCGCAGTTAATGAAGCTTTGGTCGTCTGGGAGCTTCAGAAAATTAACGATTTCCTTCCTGCAAGACATTTCACCCTAACCAAAACAACCCCCGTCTCCCGCAATACGCTAACCAATGAATGACGCTACCCCACATCATCGAGGAACGTCAGCTTTCTGTTTCGTCGCAATATTTCTCTTCAATCAAGCTTCACTTCTCATAACACATATTGTCAAAATGGCCGGTAAATTCGAACCCAAGACTCCTGTTACTCTCAACCCACCAAAGTACGATCCTATCCCGGTGGAAGAACTTGCGAAGTGCAATGGTAATTACGACCTCTTCACAATCTCTGGAGATGAGGCGCTAATATGTTGAAAGGTTCTGATAGCGACAAATGCTATGTTGCAATCAAGGTACACTCTTAACTCTGCATGTTTCACAATGCAATGCGCAAAACTCATGGGACCTAGGGCAAAGTTTACGATGTAACAGGAAACAAAGCATACCTTCCTGGCGGTGCTTACAATGGTACTTCTTCCCGATCCCTTCTTAAGCACCACCGCATGTTCTTCTCGCTAACTTCTCTTCTACATCTTTAGTCTTCGCTGGCCACGATGCTTCCCGCGCTTTGGCCAAAACTTCTACTAAAGCTGACGACGTATCCTCGGAATGGTTCGATCTCAATGACAAAGAGAAGGGCGTGCTTGATGACTGGAACACATTTTTCTCGAAACGATACAATGTCGTGGGACTTGTAGAGGGGGCGCAGAACTTGGATCCAAACGACAAAATAGAGGGTGCCTCGAGTTGAAAGTTAGCGGACGCATTATCGAAGTTATGAGGGTTGAACAGGTTGTGGTATGCGATTTAGACATGAAATTTAATTTAGCGAGTTGTTATTTGAGCTTAGCAGGCGAATCAAGTCTTCATTTGGTCTTGCAGGAAATACCTTTAGAAGTTACTTTGGTATACTTTATCAGAGAGTAGCCGGTCGAGAGTCAATTTCTGGTTTATTCTATAATTTCTAATTTCTGGTGCTCTTAGAGCCATTATCACTTAAACTCGTTTTGTTCCGCTACCCAAATATCAGGCTATATACCCCGCCAAACCCTTTGCTTTTCAAAAGTATCCTTCCCTCTATCCTAGAACAGTTCCCGAAGAATACAAAACGAAATAACCACTACCACCCTTCAATTAGAAGATTAACAAGGTTAAGGCAAATAAAAACCTTTTCCCCTTCTCATGCTGGGCAGGAGATAGGCCCTATCAAAGGAAAACACCATGCAACACTCCTGATCGCTATACGAGCAGCCGGCTATCTTTACATTCCGACTTTGCTTGTTCGTTGTTGAAGAAGCCATTATAGTACTGAGGATACAGAAATACACCCCCTGTCTACTCAACTTCAGGAGAGCAATTATAGGATTTTCTGTTATTTGTCTACCTTCTTTGTCTTGTTCCACTGTTTCTAATCAATCTGAGTTTTTGGGGGGTTATGTGGAGTTTGAGAATCAGAAAACATAACTTGTATTTATAAAATGCGATGTTTTAAAATGCATGATCTTTTGCTCGGTCGAAGTAGTATGATTGAAGAAAGCCAGACTAGTGCGAGAGTGACGAGAGGTAAAGGGGTGCTGATGCCGTAAAAGGATAGTGCTGATAACGGAACGTAAAACAGATGTGTGTTTATGGTGTCAGTGTCTTTGAGAATGTTTACTATCTCTCAGGATTAAACTGAGCAGTCAGAGATGTAATGACATCAGAAGTTTAACATGGTTTTTATATTTCCTAGATAATCCCCCCAAACTCATAGCCAAAGAGTAGACTATCCAACCCATTCCACTACAACGCTTGCCTATCCAGATTCCCAACAACCCCATAACTCCTCGGATCAAAAAGCAATGCACAAACATAGGTATCCCGAGTCAGCCACGCCTCAAACGCCTTCCAATGCATCTCAATACTAGAGAAGATTATGTTGGCACGGTCGAGGATAGATGAAATCAAGGGGGTGAGCGAAGACGAATGCAAACCTTCTCCCCGCATAGCTAAATATATGTAACTCAGTCCGTAAACAATTCGCTGGAAACGTGCCGCCGAAATAAATATTCAAAGACGATGAACTGAGAATAGACGTTCCATTCATGCCATGCAGGTTTTCATATTTTCACTGCTGAAGGCAATCATTTCTTCAAAACGGCATCGTACATGGTAAACAGGATCCCAATGCCGGTCCCAACAAGTGTGCTCTGATATCCCCCATAAAGTGCAGAATTGATTCTGGCCACGTGCTTAAGGTCCACGAGCCCACCGAGAGTTGCGCCTTGGCCATATACTATGAATGTTATGAGTCCCTTTACGATGTTGAATGTTAATGGGTCAAACGAATAATGTTTGCTTCGCGTACTTGGCTTGCTTGTCAAATTGTAGAAGTAAGCTGCAAACAATGGAAGTAAGAGACTTGTGGATAACCACAGAGCAAATGGGCCCCAGAACGACGTGGTCAATAAAAGGAACAGATCCGGAATTTTGACCGCGTATTCGGAGGTATTCAGGAAATGGAGCGGGGGGATTGTGAATGCGTATTTGTTTTGCAAAAGCTCTGGTTGAAGTTGAAGTGCCTCTGATAGTAGCATGATGAATTCAAGGGCCACGACAGTTGATACAGTTT